GTATATGTGTACACAGACACACAGACACACACACAAAATTATATATATGAGTCATTTCACGTCAAGTCTCCTAGCGCGGCGCCCGCGCGGCATTATTAATCGAAATTGTTTAATTTGTAACTCGCCAGAAAAGCACCTAAATGCACCCAGAAAAAATATGTGCCATATGATTTTAATAGGAAATTTCCTCAGCTTTCCGATGATGAGGTCAGATTTTCCAAAATTTTCCATTTTCCTCGGAAAAACTTGACATAAACTTTCAAACTCAAATATCTCAAAAACGGCATTTTTAAGATTTTTTTAAATAGTGCCAATCGAAAGCTGAGGAAATTTCCTATCGATATGCAAGTTTTCAGAGAGTACTTTTGATAATTACTCAATGAAATACAGCGACGAACGTGTAAAAACGTGAGATTTTGCGTCGCGCGGGGTACTGCGCGCGGGAACAGCTGCCGCACGAGCCGAAATGTCACGTTTTTACACGTTCGTCGCTGTATTTCATTGAGTAATTATCAAAAGTACTCTCTGAAAACTTGCATATCGATAGGAAATTTCCTCAGCTTTCGATTGGCACTATTTAAAAAAATCTTAAAAATGCCGTTTTTGAGATATTTGAGTTTGAAAGTTTATGTCAAGTTTTTCCGAGGAAAATGGAAAATTTTGAAAAATCTGACCTCATCATCGGAAAGCTGAGGAAATTTCCTATTAAAATCATATGGCACATATTTTTTCTGGGTGCATTTAGGTGCTTTTCTGGCGAGTTACAAATTAAACAATTTCGATTAATAATGCCGCGCGGGCGCCGCGCTAGGAGACTTGACGTGAAATGACTCATATATGTATAGCATATATATATGGTGTATAAGCGATGCGTTGATGACGTCACTCTTTCTCTCTCTCGATACTTTGAATGAATATCGCCAAGGGGGGTTGTGCGCCGCCACAGTTGTCGTCGTCGAAACCCCTCGCTTTCTCCACGAATTTTTCGAGCGCCGTGTACGATACACGTATACGTACATACTAATACGAGCTTGTGCCGCGCACGTACGAGTGTGGGCTCTGTTTGTATATTATATTCGCCTTCGTGTGATAAAGCTACATAACGGATAAAATTTTTCAAAGCCTATTTCAATTAAAAAAACACTCTGCTTGAGATTATACGCCCAATGATGATGATAGCAGCTTCGCGCGCAGAAGTGCCAAAATTTGCTAAAGCTCGATTACTTTCTTACTTTTTCGTACATTAGTGGCTCCTGCGATGATTATACACAGAGAGTAATTTATTTACGCGTCAAGTTCGGGCTATAGTCACACGATAACTTTCATCTCTCCTGAGTCATAAATTGATAATATTGTGCTCTTATCGAGCAATAATAAAAAAAGAGAAAAAAATAATAATTTTTTACCATTGAAAAATACGAAAAAAATAACGAAGCGTATGTATAGCGAGGCGCATTATGAAAAAAAGCTGTTCATTTTTCGGGCGGATGATAACGGCGACGGCGGCGGCGACGGAGTCGGTTGTGGTAAAAAGTCGACGACATTGTATTTACCCAACCGAGTAGAGGATTCCAAAGCGACCTTCTCCGGGGCTTTTTATACGTAATTATACGCGTACATATAAGGCATATAAATACGCGGCGATTGTTACTTACACCTCTAAATGCGAGGCGCGCAGCCACCGCACACGGCACAGCGGCAGCGTGAGCTCGGAGCACAGTACAGAGCACAGCGCAGTCAGTGTACTCTACCTATACACGCCGTATACATATTCGTGATTGAACTATTCGTCTATATAAAAGCGCGCAGCTCAGCGCAGCACAGAAAGCGGGCATTTGTTATTGTGTGCGCGGGCGCATGTTTGTGTGAATAGCAACCACGTGCATTTCCCACAGCAGCAGCAGCAGCAGCAGCATAGCGCGGTGCAGCGCACGAAACTGCTGCTAGCTGCCGCTACCACCGCCACTCGTTGTACAGGAAGGTATATAGTACATACGCTATATATAATGGTGTATAAACGAGGGCTTCGATGAACGCGCTAGCTGGTGGCAGTGACGAACACTTCACTCTCTCTTTCTCTCTAACCCATTCTCTTCTTCGTATGGACTAATATTGCAGTGTGTATGCACACACAAACGCATATACACACGGACGTACACCGACGAGAGTTTTACATTCTCACATGGCAACGGAGACTTTCAGCCAGAGCTCGAAAATCGTTCGCCGCGGCCTCGCACAATGGATTACTCTTTTTTTTTTTTTTTACAATCTGGCCAAAAATAACGATTCAGTCGGGGAAAAGTTCAACCCGAATTCTTCCCAATTTGCGATTTTCTCGTTTTAGGGTTCACGGAACTTGAAAAAAGCATCTTCGAATCCAAGTATCCCAATTCGGATTTGAACGAGTATCGGCGTTTTAATTGAGTAGCAAAAATAAACGTGCTTTTAATTGAGAAACAAATCTTGAATAATTGATTGTAAATCGAAGCAGTCATTTTTCAACTCAAATCAAAACTGTGCGACCAGTCTCTCACGCGGAGAAACGAAATGCTATATACGCGCGCGCGGCGATAATGCCTAGATGCGCGCTGAAAAAAATGAGAGTGAAATTCAGGAGAGATTGTATGTGCTCGCGCTAGAGAACTACCTACTATCTCTGCCATAAGGAAGAGAGAGTGAGAAAGTGCAGCTGCAGACGCGCTCAATATATACATGCTTTATATCTTTCTGTGTGTAAGTGTGTGTGTGTGTGTGTGTGTGTGTGTGTGTGTGTGTGTGTGTAGTATATATCCATATACCCATTCGCGAGATCCATACTTTGCAAGCTGTGCTCGCGATTTTGAAAGTGATTTTCTCGTGGGTGCATTTTTATGAAAAGAAAATACTTGCCTTTATCTGCGTGGCAGCAGCTCCGCAACTTGCTCGGTCAACTTTGTGCTACTTATAGATTTTTGTTCGCGAATGTTCGCCTTAATAGTTGTTGGTAACTGATACAATTAAAATAAAGCTAATACAATGAGTAAATTGAAAAGTAATGGTTTGACCATCGCCCCTATATGCTATCCTACTTTTGCATGTTCACGCGTTCATAAATCTTTAGTCTTATACAAGATTTTCATAATACATCGTCAATTACAATATTTTTTTTCGTTTGTATTTGCAGATGTAGCAAGACAAAGACCTAGCCTTCGGATTCTAAGCTGCGCTTTAATTCCAAGCTACTGAGGCTAGAATCATCACAAGTCCTGCTGAAACAGGTATGGTAGCCGCTTCCATAAACTGCATCACTGCTAATAATAAGAGCGGGGTGCAAATGGCTCATCACGAGATGACTCAAATGCAGTACCTGCAGCAACAGCAGCAGCAGCACCAGCAGCACCAGCAGCACCAGCATCATCAGCAACAACAGCAACAGCAGCAATCGCGCATGGTAAGACAATTTTGTCCATTCTTATATATGAAACTTTTGTACTGGGGAGAAAACGTATTAAATTCTTATATTTCAGTATCCCACTCACAGAGTAATGGCGGGCTCCTACATAGGTCCGGGTGGCAACGTAGATATAAGAGGACCGATGCACCGAGGAACCATGTCAAATATGGGAGGTATGGCTCAGCCCGGTGAACTACAGTCGTACGGCAATCCGGGCCAAACTCCGAACATGATCATGGGGACTGTTTCTCCTCCGGGCCAGCAAGTGCAACCTCTTCACGCGATGAACGCGATGAGCCACATGGCTTTGAATCAGATGAACGGAACTTACGGGGGTGCAACCAATACCAACATATCGACGGTGGGAGACGTGGTTCCGATCAACGGCCTTGGCTCGTTCAATGCCGGAAATCCTGGCATGCCTCCGATTACCAATCAAAAAGCAAAGGCGAAGGCTGCGCCGCCAGCAAAAGTAAGTTGTTTTTTTTTTTTTTATTTTATGGTAAGAAAATTTACAGACAATCATCATGTAGAAATATTTATTCACCCGAACGGGAAATATTGCAAGGAATATAATATTTTTGAAATTTAATTTTATTAACGATGAAAAATTTTTTTAAAAAACGACGATTGCTATCATCGAATAAAAGGTGATTAGTAATTCGTGATCTCAAAGTTTGAACGCGTTCTTTAATTTACCGTGTCGTACGACCATAATTTTCCCAGGTACCAAAAGTCCGGAAAACCAAAAATATGAAGAAAAATTCGGTCGATGCTGATCCGCTAATGTCACAATTGCAGCCCGTCGGACAACAGCATCTGACCACACACAACAGAGCTGCGCCGTATCCTGCCCCTGGCGTTCTTCACAACCGTAACAGGTACCCACAGTCCGACGTACCCATTTCGCCCAACTACTCGGCTGTACCGAATACGATGGGCACACCGATGAATAACCCGGCCATCAATTCGGGTTTCGTCGACAATTCCATGTTCCATCAGCAGGACATGATTCCGCAGATGGACCCATCGAAAGTAGCAATGATGGGCTCGCAATATGGTCAGCATTTGAACGCGCAGCAAATGCCCGCGCAACCGATGGGAAACCAGATGAATATGGGCAATCAGAACAATCAGAGTATCGTGAGGGGCGTTAATTACGGTGTGACACCTTGCCAAGTGAGCCACTTTAGCGGACCCAATGGTACGATGAGCGTCAATCCAGTCAACAGACTGGACTGTGGCGTTCAACCGCAAACACAGAATGCCTACCCTAATGGTCAGAATGGGCCTTATATCAATGAACAATACCAGCCGGCGAAGAGGATGGCGTACAATAATCCAGCTATCAATCAAAAGTTGTTGCAACAACAACACCAACAACAAATGTTGCAACAACAGCAACAGCAGCAGCAGCAGCAGCAATTTCATCAGGGTTCTCAAAATCCTCAGCAAATGCTGTTACAGCAGCAACAACAGCAGCAACAACTACCACCGCAATCACAACAATCGCAGCAGCAATATCAACAGCAACTTTTGCTGCAACAACAGCAACAGCATCAACAACAACAACAACAGCAACAACAACAACAGCAACAACAACATCAACATCAACAGCAGCAATACCAACAAGTACCACCGCAAATGCCATTTCAACAGCAGTTACAAAAGCAGCCACAACGAGCACAACCAAGACCACAAATGCAGACACAACAGCAGTGCTTCACGCCGCAAATGCTCCCTAATGGTCCGCAATTGACGCAGAAGCAGCCAATCGGTCAATCGTGCCACACCAGTCCAACTTCATCCTTTTCATTAACGCCGCCATCTACACCCCAGACTGGAGGAAATGCAGCAGCCCATATTAGTCCACAAGCCGAGGGAAAATCATATGGTGGAGGTAAATATTACTATTGATTTCTTTACACCTTGCTTACCCTACTGCGATAGTCAAGTCTGGGACAATTGATACGGTGTCCCTTATTTTATTGCGCATCTTTGGAAACATGACACTTGTAAATACAAAACACATAAATGTATTTCATAGGTGCGCTCGATTTTAATTCTTGACTTGATCATCAAAATTTAGTTTTACCTTTTGGTCATGAGAAGATATGAAACAAACTCCACAAGTCTAAATTTTTATTAAAAATATTCCGGAATTTTTGTGATTAGCTAGCCAAAACGAAAAATACCATTAGATTCATTCGAATTTAAAGAATACGTCATCGAAAGTTTGAATAGTTTGTGTTTATAGCTAAAGTGATAACTTGCCAAAAAAATTAATTCCTAAATTTCTACGTTATTTCAGTTGTGGCAGAAGAGCCAAGAATCTGCATTCCACTCCGAGAGGGCTTGCTAATGCCTGCCTTCAAGATCGAGCACAACCTTACTGTGAGCAATCACGTATTCGACTTGAAACAGGAGCAGATGAGTTACTTGGCTAATTTGGCCAAAGAAGTAGATGTGGCAATCAGATGCTATAAGAGCGACGACCTGTCGCTGCTGTGCGACTGGCCGCGCGGCGTTTCGGTGACAGTCAACGCTCACATCATCAACTACGACATGCCTGCCGAGTGGTCAAATAAGCCGATTTTCGTACCCAGCAAGCTGCTGCTACCGGGAAGAAATACGCTCCAGATAACGCTGACGGCTTGTAGTTGCGTAAGTACACTTTTCGATTTGATCATTTTATTTTGAGTTTTATAATGAGTTTTCGGGCACTTTTTAAAACTCAAAAATTAACAAATTTTGCACCAAGTATTAAAAGAAAAGAAAAAATTAAGGACTTTTTCCAGAATCACACATTCATGGTTCATATGGTTCATCGACCGAGCATCAAGAACGTGGTTCAGAATTTGAAGGATCATAAACGTCCTGAAACATTCAATGATATTATAGCCAATATCAAAAATTTGATTACAATCACCAGGAAAGAACTTGGCGGTTACAGCAAAAACACCGGAAGAATCAAGGTAAGAGCTTTAACTATATGATTTACATGAACGAAAGTCATTTAGAATTACTTTTTTTTACATAGTAATCTGAATAATTTTTAACTAGTTACGTACGGGTACTTAAAACGCCGATTTTGTTTCAAGAAATAAGTTATGCTAATTTTTTTTAAAGTTGCGTTTCAAATTCCTTGAATAATGATTGTGATTAAAAATCATTTACATGACGGAGGCATATTGCTTTTTTTCTTACCCTGTCAAAAACTTAATTGTCAATAATAATTGATTAAATCTGATTTCGACTTAGGAAATTCATTGGTCTGAATGTAATTTATATTAATTTGTTTACTTAATTTCAGTGTTCACTCAACGATCGGTTGACCCGCAAAAGGATAATCATCCCTGTACGGACATTGGATTGCGACCACATAGAATGTTTCGATTTAGAGCCATTCCTTCACTTCAATTTGGATCGAATGAACTGGAGTTGTCCCATTTGCTTGTAAGTTGATATTTCTTTAGACTTGAAATATAGTCAATGATAATCGAATTCACAATCACAAAATTGATTAATAAAATTTTTTCTCCACCTACGCAGCAAATCGGTGTCATTGGACAGAGTGAAAATTTGCGGCTATATCGGCAGCGTACTGCAAAGTCAAAAAACTATTCACGCGTCGGAGATCGAGATCGATTACGACACCAACTGGTATCCCGTGATCGCGAACAACAACGTCAACAGCAACGCACCGAGCATCGACGTAGCAAAACGCGATCTCGGCATGAAAACTGGATCACCGCCGGTCGGCCACAATCAATGGCAGGACTCGACGCCCATGAGTCCGTACGTGAACAACGAAATGCCTATCGTGAACCAATACAATTCCGTGCCCATGAACCAGCCGATGTACGGCAGTCCGGCTCATCGCGGATCCTCGACGCCTGCGCAACCTTGTCTGACCGAAAGACCCATACCGTCGAACGATCCCTCATCGACGGAGGTAAGCGGTCAATATCAATATGTATGTACAGCAAAGAACTTATACCTAAAAAATCCGTGTTTGTACGTTTGCACAAAAAAAGCTTTACTAGCTGGATCAAATTTAGTAACGAAAAAATGATAGCTTTTATCAAAACTAAGACAATTCTAATCTTTCGACGCGTACATCTTCGTTGACGAGTTACGCAAACAATTAGAATTCACATATAAAGGTAAATTTGAAGGTGGTGCACGTAGTTTATTTATGAAATACTATATATTATGTTATGAAAATTCTGAACTTCCTAAAACAACATTATGTTACGTGCTCATAATAAGCAAGTAACACTAATTTAATTAAATATGTTTGAAAAAGAGTCGTAACGCAGATAATCTGACTTACTTATTGACTTATAAATATAGAGAAGTTGATGGAAATCTAGAATCTAATCTTATTCTAAATTTTTAGCTGCTTGCGAATCTGCCGACGCCGAACACTCCCGGAAACACAAGCGGTGGATCGCCACACGACATGGGTACGGCACTAGATCAAACGACACAGATCGATAACGACAAGGAGACGTTACAAGTAATGCAATATTTTAACGCCCATGAGCCGATGTCAGAAGATTTGAAACGAGATTTAATTATAGCTGGTATCTATTGCTCATTTCCAGAATATGGAAGACCCGCTGGTTCTTCTGCCTTACCTTAACATGAAACTGTCACCAATTCTTCCCGATATAATGGAATTGGACAGACGCGAAAAACAGGATAATGGGGGTTATCAATTGGCGGGACATCAGTCGAACGCTATTCCATCCAATACGATACAACCAGATATTCCGGATCTCGATACCCCACCGAATAGCGGCAGAAGCAACACTGCTGATTTAAATTCAACAGATGACATTCTTGCTCTGTTCGAATAAACAAAAGTCATAAGAGTTCTATCTTAACTTAGGTATTTTTAAAACTACCCCATTTGTTGAGTATTAATTAATGTACTTATTAATTATACTAAGTTAGTTTAGTAAACATTGATAGTTCCTAATCAAAAAAATAAGTAGTTGATAAAACCGTTGCGTTAAAACTACTACGAATCGTGGTTGAGTTCAAATGGCATGAGTAATTGTTTTGGAGGAGAATCTGAATCGCTGCAGAAAAGTAACTAAAATCTTTCTTCTTCTAAGTTTTTTTTATTATTATTATTATTATTCATGACATTTTAAGTAAATGCGAGGTATTTGTTACTAAAGCTCTGATAAAGAATACCTACCAATTATTATCAATTACTAATGATAAACTGCTTCACCTTTGTTTATTTTTATAAGTTTGAACTAAGTTCAAGTAATATTTGAGTATTCACAAAACTCTTTATAAGCTTTCAAGTTGCGCATGAAGTAACAAAAAATACCTCCCTTACTAAACAATAATTATTTACGATTCAATAAATATATATTCCTGTATTTATATTCGTGATAAGTCAGTGAATGTTTTTTTTGTCATTATAAAACGGTAATAACTGCAACGCAATTACGAAAAAATAACAATCAGTGTCAATACTCCAATCAATTCGACATTTATATGACTGGTTGAGTTAAAATTATGTGAATATGTGAATGACTTCGGGTTACAGCTTAAAATCAAACGAGCAGCTTTGTTATTGTGGCATTTCATTCATAAAACCGAACTTTCATTGTTCATATACCAATGTTGTAATGGAAATTTTCACTGCAACCATGCAAAAAATGTTAGGCCTTGATTTGAGCATAACAAGACATTCGAATATTTTTTCGACTTCCATTCATTCGAGTCAATTAATTCTCAACCATTGATACAGTACTGAAACAATATAACATTCAAAGTCATCGAGCACGGTTGTACAGATAACCGAATAGGAAAAATCTGTACAAATATTATGGTAACTTTTTTTGTTTACTAATCTTTGTACATATTATTAGATAGTTAAGTAAATCTAAATTTTAAAGTAGGAGCTTTCAGGGATCATGACAGAATTCTATTAATAAGTTTCAATCTTTTTATATACATTATATACATTGTAATGTACACACTTATGGTAGTTTGAGAATCAGAAACTTTTGGACTGGAGAAAATATAATATGCCAAATTACTTTTTTACTTAAGGAGGTAAAAAAAATTATGCATAATTCATTTTATATGATATCGGTGAGACAGGCTCATTATTGTAAATATTAGTTTTTTAAGTGAAAGGTTTAAGATTTTTTAAATGATATAATTGAACCGTTTTATAGTCAGTTAAGATATTTCATATTTTTATGATGAGATTATGTAGATTATACATAATAAAAAGTCTTATCTAATAAGTTCGTAAGTTCGGACAAACGAAGGACATATTTTACGCAACGAATTAAAATCGGATAAATAAATGCAACTATAAACAAAATCTTGCAATTGTTAAGATTTAGAAATAACAGCTTATGGGAAAGAAACAAAACGCTGGACGTTTTAGCACAAATAGTCTTCGGAGTTTAGGTATAAACGTCCAAGCCCGTGAAAAACGTCGTAGTGTTTCCCGGCGTAACGTACACTTTTATGTCTTTTTTTTAGTAATATTATAAGCATACGTATTTTCAAAAGTTTCTATTCTCACTAGCGGAATTTAGAAGTTTTTTCTCTTGCATCGGTCGAGCCGATACGTAGCTCTCTGCGACGATTACTTGCCGCATGCAAATACATAGTCGAGAAAAAACTCGAGATCCTTGAAAGCTCAGTTTTACATTGACGATGCATGAAAATAATAATTAGATTTGCGAAGACTGTGATGATTGAAATATCGATAAAAACTTACGAAAAATAACGGAAAAAAATTGTAAAAAAACGAACAAAAAAACCAAATAAAATTAAAAAAATAAGCCAAACTTAGAGTAATCAAAATTTCATGCGGAGTCGTATGTATCACGTCGCAGCCGAAAAACTAAAAAGCTTCAAATGGGGCACAAGTTGAAGAGATGCGTAACGATGAGTAAAATTTAGGACGTGCTGAGTGAGAAAACTTTTTTCAAGTTTCATAAAATTTCATACTACTTGTAGTATTGATAATTTTTTTTATAAATGAAAAGCAATAAGAAATGATACGATCATGCATACTCGTCTTGGCGCGTTTCTTTACACTTTTTGAATCGGCTTATTATATATGATTTATATAAAAATTTTGATATAAGTATATAGTGTATATAATTACCTGTAAATATATAAAAAAATTTTCGTGATACTTAAACATAATACATAAATATTAATATAAAGCGAATAAATTATAATTACTATAACTATTGCGACTATTAATATTATATATGGATCTAAGTAGACAAAGTGTTTCAGCATGAATCATTCAAATTAAAAGATTTGGCAACCTGGTCCAAAAATACCAATGAATGAAAAGTAAACTCAAAATATGTATTCAAATTAAAATTCTACGATATTTTCGAGTAGTGCTTTCTCTAAAGTTGATCGAGGAAATGCATTTTTCAACCAAAGCGTCGAATTGTACATATAAAATTATACATACGCTCTTGGATACAGAACAGCTGGTATCTTGATACATTGTACATATTGAACTCTTGTAAATACGAATAGATTACTTTAGTAATATTTTAAGAATTGACATCTGTATGTTCATAGATCAGAATGATTGATGTTACTATCATGAAAAATTTTATTTATGTTTTAGTTATTCTTTTATATAAAAAAATCACATTCTCATTTCAAACTGATAACAAACTGAAACTTATATTATCATATAATTATGAATATGGCTGTGTCAGAATTGTCAAAAAAGCATTTTTGTATCCTATTTAAAATTACATTAAAAAACTGCGCTCAAGTCCATAGGATAATTAAAACATGTATTCCTTTGAAAAGTATTAATTCATGTCAATTTTCATTCGAAGTCATCACCATGAATTCCTATCATAGACTAGAGTATAAATACTTCACTTGCAGTGCTTTATTGTAAAAACTAAGTTTGTCTTAAAATAAAATGATAATGTGTAAAATAAAATATCTTTCGTCGTATTCAATCTCATCATATACCCCGATCCATCCTGAATTTCTTTACGTTAAAAATGCATTAAATAAAACTTAAATTCATAAAATAATTACTACAACTCGGCTTCTAAAATAGCATTAAAGCTGCTTTTTTTGGTTGCACGAGAGAAAGTTTAAATTAAGTATACTTAGTAAGATAATCAAGATTATAGTTCTCCTTTGGTTTTGAGATTGTGTTAAGGGAGCGAAAAAAGATGTATAAAACATCGTAATTTTATATATCATTGAAGTTTGATTTAAAATTTTTAATTTAAATTTACAATTTATATTTACAATTTACAATGTATATACATTTTTTCTTCAAAATATCTTCAAATTTTTATCCTCAAAATGAAAGTTGTAACTATTTGTCATAATTTTACAAGAAAATGGCTGGATACTATAAGGGCCTTTTTCAAGTGACCGGGTATCAGCATCAGTCACTTATTTCTTAGACTTCAATTAACTATTTTATTAATTTTAAGTGATTTTTTATTAGCTTGAAAACTGAAATCTCATTTATAAAATTTCAAAGAAGAAAATATTAGCGGGGTGGCGCCACGGTGTGCCGCTGTTCTGAATGTAAATTGTAGACTTATAGTGTTAAGGTTAGTGACCAGTAGACAGCAATGCACGTTTCCCTCGCATTTGAGCAGTTACCTTTATAAACAAACGGACGTTTAAACAGTAGTTCATTAAAAATAGTTCGAATTTACTTATTTCAACGTTAATCCGTCCGAAATTGAAGATGTTTTGTAGAGATGCTGTTAAGCTTGTTGCAGAGCTAAATCAAACAGAGGATATAAAACCATTTAATGTAAGTTCTTCATCTATCAAAACAGTTTTTTGGGGTTCTTTAGTTAAAAATTTCAATAAAAATTTTGTTTTGCTACTCACAGGAAGCTGTGTTTCGTCAAGTATTAGAAGAAGTACAATCATTGTTTGAAGAAAATTCAAAAGATGTGTAAGTAAAACATATAAAAAAATATGTATAATTGTTTTCTACCATGTTTATGAGTATTTGTTTTAAATAGGAATACCATCACAGAAGACAATACAGCACCAAAAAATACATTACTTGTGAGACATTATGCAATGAATAGAAATAAACGATGCCTCTTGACATATTTGTTCCATAGAATGAGAAGACTAAGACAAGCTCGATGGGAGCTTGGTAGTATCATACCACCAGAAATATCTAAAAATTTAATTAATCCAGAAGCACAATGGTTTCATAATTACAATAAATCACTTGCTACTTATATGAGAACTATTGGTGAAGATGGATTAAACATATTAAATGATATTCAACCACCCAAATCATTATATATAGAAGCAAGTACCATTTATGATAATTGTTACTTGTAATTAATTTTTGCGAATTTTGTTTTTAAAAAATATTTTCTATTGTACAGGTGCGCTGTATTCAAGATTATGGTAGACTTGAATTTGATGGACAATCTGTAATGTTGAAAAAAAATACTTATCACCTATTACCAAGATCTGAGTGTGAATCTTTGATAAGACAGGGATATCTCGAACATGTGTCTTCATAATATATAGTTACTATAGTCTGTTGTTGGTGTATAAAGTTTTGTACAGAATATTTTGTTTAACTTTCCTAGATAAGTACAAACCACATAAAGTATTTTAGAATTAAAATTTTAAAATTAAATTGATGAATGGTTTGATTTATATTTAATAGGAAAGAAGTTGTTTGATAAGTAGAGGAGAATTCAAAATGTGCTTACTTTTTATGTGATTTGTCTCACTATAGTAGTTTAAAAATTTCTTTCAAGATTAAAACCAATTGTTTCAATGCTCATATTTTCATATTATTGTACAGGCATTTCATGATCAAATTTATTAAACTACATAATTTTTAATATTAATATTTAAAAATTTTAATAAAAAATACAAAATAAAATTATGCAACTGTTATTGTTGAAATAGCCTTACTATTACTATTATTTATTAATCAATATCAACATAAATTATGATTAAAATGCGTTTTCTAATTGACTATTTTGATAGTTAAAACCGCATACGACTGACATTTCATTTTACTTTCAAGACAAGTATCAAGCGAAGGCTTACATCAACCTGCACAAGACCGTTTTTTAAAAGTCACACGTTGTACTTTAAGTTCATTAAATCCTCTCTTTTTGTTGTTTTTATGTTAGACATGGCCTAGATCAGGTATTTTTACGACATTATAGGTAGGCAAAAAGCATTGAACCCGCAGTGAGAGTGAGACGAAAAAGTAAAAAAACCCAGGGTCATTAACGCATCATCGAGCGTACAAAAAGTGGGAATGGAAATGTGGCAACGCAGAAGTATGTGCTACACACGAAGTCGCGTACATAATGTACGTGTGTGTCCATGCGTGTCTGTGTAAGTATGCGTCGCATCTTTCTCTCTCTCACTTGCTCGGGCTCGATTCTTTTCATACCTGATTATATACATGTAGGTAAAACCACTCGCATACACGGCTCGCAGCTTTGAGCGCGCGGGAGCCCCGCGACAGCGTCTAAAGTGTAAGCATCCGCTCAGGGGAAGTTGGGTAAAACACGATTTTGTTCGTGCCGCTGGTCTGGTTCGTTGCCTCGGGAATACGCATGCCAGCCGTAGCCGCCGTCGCCGCTGCCGCAAAAGACGCGGCTACAAAAAAGCCAGCCGAGCGCTCAGTCAAGCCAGTTGTAAACTTCTTTCTCCATGAGCAGCATCGAGCGTATCGCACGCATCGCAAAACTGACGCGTGAATGTGGAACTGCAAACGATTCTGTGATTGGCACATATAGTAATTACGATCGGACTATTTGCAACTGTGATCCAACAATTTGGTACATCGACGTACGGTGTGCTTGTGAAACTTAGCTCAATCGCTATTGTGTGAAATATTTTTTTTTTTCTTGTTTTACCGTGACCATCGGCTTTTATAAGCTAAGTGAATTGAAAATACTCTCATGTGGAAGATGCTCAAGGTAGCGCTGAAATTTGGAACGATGAATAACTCCGACAGCAGGTGTCTGTTGATCGAGGATGTCCAGACGAGCAGCGAGTACAGCCAGGAAATTTCCACGCAGCTGAGCTCGCCGATAAAACCGAGGACGACGATCGTCCACCAGACAGAGACCACCACGGACAGTGGCATCGACTCCAAACTCAGCAGTAGCTTGGATCATATGAGTTTGGAGCGCAGCGAGTCGTGGGATCTGACGAAAACCGAAGATGAGCCAATGGTGCATGAGGAAGAAGAGGAGGAGGAGGAGGAGAAAGTGGAGGAAGTCGCGAAAATTGACACCAGCGTATCAGAAAAGCCCGTTGTAGCGAAAGATTTTCGATGCTATTACGAGCAAAACTGCGCCGGGGACACGTAAGTTATTACCATTACATCAATTTTTTATCAGACCAATTAGATGATTTTCCGGTGTAGATTCTAAAATTCGAGTACACCGCTGTTTCATTCTTACGCAAAAAAATGCTGTACGATCTACTTTACATAAATACATTCGCTACATCGAAATATTTCGTAACATCTGACATTGGAGATAAAAATACGTAATTTGATCAGTGGAACGAAGTTAAAAATTATCTAATTTTTTCTTCTCCGTGTGTAGGTGTTTGCACAGAGCCATTCTCTACGGCTACAAAGACGTGGCTATGAAGATCATCGACGCGACGATACACCCGATCTACCTGGACATGAAAAATTGCGACGCCCAGACGGCTCTGCACGTGGCCGTGATGACGCGCCAAGTCGAGATCATAAAGAGGCTCGTCCAAGCGGGGGCCAACACGTCTCTCAAGGACGACAATCACAATACGGCTCTGCACCTGGCCTGCATGGCCGACGACACCGAGTGCGCCGTTGCACTCCTCGAGTCGTTGCTGCCGATCAATATCTTCAATCCGACGGGAATCGATCAATTAAATTCAGCTGGTAAGCCTTGGCAAAGATTCTTTATGCGCGATAAATAGACTTTATAAGTCGAGCGCGCCGTGTGCGCCTGAAGCCTCTCTCTCTATAAAACATCGATCGAGTCATTGATTGTCAATTTGTAAATCTGTATAAATTTGCACGACCACGTGACTGTGCGGGTAGACTCATGCGATCGCGCTCTCTCAGCTGTTGGTTTTATTTTTTTTTCTCGATGCGCATTATATTTATCTTTTACGTATGTTTAAAAACCCGCATTCTTCTTCTTTTTTTTAATTTATTTGACAGCCACGCGTCGTTGCACAACAAAAAGTTATCGCACTCAATTGCGGGCCTCTTTACGGCCATTTGGACTTTTGTTTTTATTTACGTAAATCGTAACAGCGCAAAAATTTTTATCACATACATATTAGGAATAACCCCACCAACGGCACAAAGCGCACCAATGAGAGAGAATGTCAAGCCCGCGTCAAAATCTCGTCTCGAAATTCCCCGTGCTTCGCGCGCCGCCCGGAAATAGCGCCGAGGTAAAATCGAAAAATAGTGGGTAATTCCTAACATCTGTCTGACGTTGATATACTATTGATAATTTCTCGACCTTAAATTTCGCCGCCGCTCGCGGAGAGAAAAGAATTTCTTTTTTCCCCTTGACGTTTACACGTGTTTCGTGAAAAACCAAGCCCGGTTTCTCGGCTTTTCGACGATATTGCGCGCGCGCGAACGTGTTTGACCATGAGCGTTTATTTTAATACGAGTAATCAGGTTGATCAATAATATTTAATCTTATCCTGAAGTGAAAAGCTACCAGAGAGAAGTCTTAAACAAATTCCGTCTTGAATTGTTAATAACTCCAGACACACGGGCTGACGTATATCGATTGGCGCCTCTTGTCTTTACTCTCTTGATTCAATCTTGTTTATCTTGATAAAGATAATAACTGCGTAGTATGAAAAAAAAATTAGAACAAATTTTATTCAAGTGATCCAGTGACTTTGTACTCTGAATTACCGAATCGTTAAAACCCAATATTGTGGAATTAATCTTTGATTGTCATTGATGAATTAAAATTTTTTTTTTTGTTAAATTAATAGTCGAGTCAAGGTAATACCACACGTCGTGATTTCTTTGCATACAATCGCGTGATCTTGCTCTCGAAATTATCGTTATCGCTGCAGGCATAAAATTATAATTTTTTGGTTAATTTAACCATAAATAACAATCACCTTACGTTGGACCATTAAGCCAAATAGCTCATAAAAAACTAGAAAGCAATAAGTTCTCATTAGTTTATTTGAAAAAGAGTGTAAAAAACAGAATCGGGAAAACCTGCACGTGAAAACGCATTCATACACACACACACACACAGACGAACACGCGGGGGGAGACATCGACGAATGATCGTCCACACGCGCATGTACACACACATCGTTGATAGGAACATCAGTGCACGCACACAGATAGGCAGGCACGCGCGTTGCTGCGGAAACCAGCGCGCGCGCGCGGCAGAGAGAAATTTTACAGAAAATTTTCTCCCTTTCACTATCTGCGGCATTTCGCGGTCCTCTTGCTGCTGCTCCTACGGCTCTTTCTGCCGTGTGACTTCTTTTTGCTCGAGTGTCTTTGCTTGAGACGCTGATTGCGCTCCGCGACGGCGCGGAAGGGCTTCTTCTCGCAGCTGGACATCTTGCACCACAACTTGCCGGCTTTTTTGGCCACGTCGGCCACGCGCTGATTGCCGCACGACTTTTTGTACATGGCCAGGAAGAAGACGATGAACGGATTGATCGAGCGCGGCTTCGGAGAGCAGCCGCTTTTGTTTTTCGCGGGTTTACTGCACGCCGACGATTTGCTGCAATTATTACTCGCGGGCTTGGCCGGACCGCATTTGTCCGGCTGCTGCTGCTGAGGCTTGCTGCAGGGTGCAGATTTGGCAGGCTGCGCACATTTGCTCGGCGCCTTGGACTCGGGCTTGCAGGCGGGCTTCGGTTTGCTGCTGCATGGATTTTTTTCCGACTTTTTTGATTCGCCACATTTGTTTTCTTTTTTCGCGGGCTCTTGGCCGCACGGCTTGTTCTCCTCCTTTTTGCCTCCGCCGAACAAACCGTCCAGTAGTTGTTGGGTGTAAGAAAACGTCGGCTCGACGTCGTATCTGCGTTTGCAATGAAAAATTGTCAACAAAATCGGCATCGAAGCACCGTTCATAATGACTCTTTGAAAAGTTGCGTCACAAATGAGCCTCTTATTCAATAGTTGGTTCGGAAAAAAAACAAGGTTATATGTTGTTGATCGATATTTGAAGAAAAAAACTATTTACCTGTACAAGTCGTCGGACTCACACTCGTTATTATACATTTTTAATTTTAATAATTTTGTATACACTTGAAAATTTTATATGAAAGAAATTGATGAAAATTAATTAAAACATTTTACGGATTGGTGACTAGAATTTGGTGTTGCGAAAAAAAACAAAATTTATGTTATTGTACTGTTTGAAGTTAGCGGCTCATCTTTCGTGACTCATAGATTCTCATTCCGAAAATACAGTTGCAACTTCATTTCGTAGTAAATATTCATATGACGATTCGATATATATTCGATTTCCCGATTCGAACAATCTTGAAGCTTCCTTCAATTATTGTCCAAATGATATACGTGACTTTTTTCATCTATCGCGTTCATTGAGAGAATATGTGAGAATATATAATATATATTTCATCGTAAATGCATGAAAGTTTGAAAGAGTATCTTACGGAATTCCCCAAGCAGTACAAGTCACGTTTCTTAAAGGCGAATGAAACGATGACATCATTTCGCATTCTTTAACTTTTTTCTATTAATTAATTATTAATCGTAAAACTGCATCGCAAAATTATGACTTTAAAAAAATTCATTTGTTGCTATTGTAAACTCCAAAGTAAAAATACATAAATAATGTTTTGATTTGAAATTTTATGATTTGGTGGGGTAAAAGAATATTAGAAAAGTCATAACATTACGCAAAATTATGGCTAAGAGTAAAAATTGTTTGTATACGTTTAAATTTAGCAGTTTATCACAAACAATAAGTGAGCAGTAATAATAAGCGTACAAAAGATAGCTGAACCGTATAAGCGAAACAATGATATGAAAACTTGGGGAATCCCCAATTGAGTTTAAAAACCTGTTTCTCACAAAGCTTCATACACCGTTAAAAAGTCGTTTTGTTTGCAACTGAAAAGAAACAATTACTTACCGTACTTTTCCATTGCACTACATATCGATGTTACAAGATTTTTCGCCGAAGACATTGATAAATCAATTACTATAAGAGTATGAAAAAAAAACAAACAAAAAAATGCAGCAAAGTAATGAGGAATCTTGTTCAATTTTCAGGTTTGTCGTGCTTGCACATCGCCGCTGCCCGTGGAAATTACAAATTGGTCGAGCAACTTGTCAAAAGGGGAGCAAATCTGAACGTCCGCGATCTGTGCGGCGGACGCACAGCGCTGCATCTCGCGCTCGAGACTCTCCATCTGAACATCGCCTACTTTCTTGTGGTATCCTGCAAGGCCGACACGACCATAAAGAATTACGCTGGCTGCACGGCCAAAGACGTCGCGCTCAGCATTCAGAGTCATTCTAAAGTTAACAGCAACTCGGACTCAACCTTCTCGACGGGTTCGTCTCAGTTCGACACGGATTGCCCCTGTTAATAGAACAGGAGAATCATTCATTCACATAGAACAATTTAACATAGTCGACGATAGACTTTTATTTTTTATGATTATTCGTGTAATGATTTATGTTCGATTATCTCCTTATGCAAATATAGTTTTTCACACGGAACTTTTGTTCTTAGCACTTCATTTGAAAGTATTACTGTTAAAGTTTAAGTACGTGCTAAGCAAAGTTCGACTATTTCGTACTAATATACGTTAAAGTAAGTGCTCGAACTAGTACGCAATTTCGTTCTTCTATCGATAATTCATTGATTAATGAACACATCATAGTGTTCCATCAGTATTGGTTTCAACTATATGCTTTACTTAAATCGAGTAATGTTTATTTTTCCATAATGTGTTAGTTGAATCTAGTCTATGCCTTATTGATCTTATTAATCAATGAAGAAGCCTCGGAATAGGTACCTTCTTAGTTTTAAAAAGAATTTCAAAGAATCATCTGTAACTAGTAATAATGGTTTAACTGAATTTTATAATTCATGCACCTAAAAGTTTGGAACAATTAGGCCCAAACAAGATTCAGAATTGAAGAATTCCTAGATTTTTATGTACTGTGTAAATATAAGCCACTTTTTTTATATTGTTAACTTGTATACGCCGAATTTCATCGTTTTCATTTTGTGTTGTCAACGAAAACTGTCCATAATTTGAAATGCAGCCATAATCCTGTTGCATTTAGACTATCAAAAGTATCAATAAATAAGTTTTTTTATAAAATAGTACATAGCACTTAAGTGTGAAGTATTTTTATTTTTATCGAACTAAGACCCAAAGAAGATTTTATGAAGAGTCATTCGTCGAGATGGAAGTCAGAGATCAAGACGGAAGAAGAAGAATTTGCCAAAGAGATTGGTTGCAATCTTAAAAATCTATCAGTATTACTCACGGTGCAGACGGTCTCGCGTGCACGTCGAGGCGTGCCCACTTTCACGTTCCAAAATTATCTACTTTTTCGTTGCCTACATTTTGATGTAGCAGAAGCGGCTAATTTATGGCGGTGTCTGCTAAATTTACCGCCGCTATCACCATTGACTAGCACTTACTCTACATTTAGCGTAGTAAACATAGACGAACGAGTAGTAAGACCTGGGTGTAGTTGCACTTCTCCCGACGCGCCTCTTCGTGCGGTGTATTTGTATCCGAGGTTGTCGTGCTCCTTCCAAAGTGTTCATTTACTTAAGAGTCGCCGACACGTGACGTCGACAGATCTTAGTTATGCTTTGAATTGTTGATATATCATTTTAAGAGATAGATTTTTTGTAAATATTGTCTGTAAATAATAACGATAGCACGCGGAAGTTTCAGTAAAAATTTGGTCGAGTTAATATGAGTGACACCCAGCAAGTCGTTTCGTTCGCACATTTTAATCAGCATTTTTCTGGCCCTTTCGTTCAATCAGAAATGAAAAAGGAATCGATCAATTACAATGAGCAGTGTACGTGCAATTTTTCTACTCTATTCAGTGGAATGACATTGAAAGACGGTAATCAATTCAACACGGATAGTATAATGTTCAATTACCCTCAAAATGAAGAAAATAATAATACGAATAAAGTCGGAAACAATCAGTATTCTCTGGATGCATATTACAAGCAAGATAATAACGGTGACACGTAAGTGTTTTATGTAATTATTGATCGTATTACTTTTGAGGAAAAAAATCTTTTCAACATAAATTTGATTTATTTACAAATTTAATTTACCTCTCGGTTGAACTTTAATCAATTTTTAATCTGTTTAATAACGTTGTCGGTTCGAATTTAGATTTTTTTTATAAATAAATCTAGAGAATTATACTTTATCGTACCTCTTTAGGCAACTACATGTCGCTATAATTAGAAAGTACTTTCAATCGGCTTTCAATCTGATACGGATGGCTCCGAATCCTTCGGTGCTCGACATTCTGAACGACGATTGCGAAGCGCCGCTGCACGTGGCCGTGTCAATGCACCAGCCACGCACTGCGAGACGTTTGGTCATCGCCGGCGCGAATCTCAACGTAGAAAATTCAAACGGCGACACACCACTGCATTTGGCCTGCTCGAACGGAGACATCTATTGCGCCAAGGCCCTGACTTATCCCGTTGCTTCGAACGAAGTCATTTGGCTGGGCCGAGAAAATTCGTTGCCGATCGTGAAGCAAAATTTGGAGCAGATCAACAATGACGGTAATGAAATGACGTGCTGCTTTTTTGTTTACGTTTGACTAATCGAACGAAGTATTTTTGTCATTTTTCCCAAAACTATATGAGCCGTCGATAATTTTTTTTTATCAGATTCTATGACTTTTTAACAGACAATACAGCAAATAATACGTAAATCACTGTGCAGAACGTCAATCATATAAAGCTATTTATAAACTCAAAAATACCTATAAATAGCAATTTACACACTGATTGGCACGAGTCGTTCCTTCATAAATATATCTTATTTTTCATATTTGACCTCATAAATAAGGAAAAACCGTATCAGTTGATCTAAATACCCTCGCATTGATATAGATACATTTTGCTCCATACTATTTGGACGACATTCACGACGTATTTTCGAACTATCTTAAAGTCATTTTAAAATTAAGAATGACGGTGTAGTTTTTATTCGCTGATCAGTAGTAGGCTCGACCAAAAGAATGTGATGTAATAATTATTTTGAAAGGCTATATTGGAGCTTTCACGAAGAAAAAAACTAAAAAATCTCTCAGACTTTTCCCCCGTCAAGTACATATTTGTTAAAAACCATTATCGATCTCCTAATTAGATTAGATTTGTCTTACTAAGACTTTGTGTATTGGTCGCAATCGTCACTTGAAAAACCCCGTGACGAAAGACAATAAAAGTGATTTTTGACTTTCAATTTTCATTACTCACTAAAACTCATTGCCAAATAAACGAAACAAGAACAAAGAGCGTCGCGGTGGCGGCGGCGGCGGCTCGCGAGACGGGAAATCTTAACTGTATCGCCGAAAATTGAGCAATGCAACAGTACAGTACAGTAGACGCGAAGCCACCGCGGCAAGGGGAATTCCCACTCTCACGTATAAGCATACACAGGATGGCCGGAAGTCTACTTTTACTCGTGGTGAGAAGCGTACACATACAGCGCGGCGACAACGACGACGAAGACGACGAACATAGCGCGACGTCGCGCGCGCGCCACGATGATGTTTCTTTCTATTTTCTCCGCGAACCGTCTAGACCATAACGGATCGTCGGTGTACAATGTGAGACTATGCACATATCGCGCGCATCTGGCTGTTGTACCGCTTTGCACTTGCGTTACATCACGAGCAGTGCTGCAGGCGCTCAACTCCTTCCTTACATATAGCATGTGTACTCTGGAGAACCGGAGATTCGCGCTCGAGGAATTATATTCTATTTTCTGACCAACTTATTCCCGCTGCTGCTGCTGGAGCGCGCGAGAGAGAGAGAGAGATACAGCGGTGCGTAATGTGCATGCGTGCACTTGTGCACGTATTACGGGGAAAACGAAATTTTTTCACAGGAATTTACCTGCGCGATGATTTAGTAAAAGCACGCTTATTTTACAACGATCACGTAGCAGGCAGAGCGAAGAAGAGCGCGACCGTATATATGTAGCAATTGCGCAGCAATCGAACCCGACGAGCGCACAAACGGAAAAACCCGAAAGCGCCTCCGTGCCAGCTGTCTGCCGTCGCCGCGGCGTTCTCCACACATCTTTCTCCCCCATCGCTCGCTTTATCTGCCTCTATTGATTGTTTATGCTCGGCGCTGCACGTGTTCGCGAGATATTTAATCCCTTTTGACTCGGGAGTCCCTTTTTTTAACGAGTGACATTATAATATCGATTTTAAATCCAGAAATAATCTAAAAAACCCATAGCAATGGATTTTTTCTATAGCTCGAGTCCTTCAAATTTCAATAATTTATTAATGCTTCGGGCGCTTAACCATTGAAAATATTTTAACGAGTACTGTATGGAAAAAAAATTTATTTTAGCTAAGAATTTATCAATTAGATACACAAATGAATAAAGAGCGAGATAATTTTTTTTTGAAGATATTCTGCTCGAGACAAAATCTAGAAAAACCCCATCAAGTTTCCCAAACAAAATTTCAAGAAAAAAACCAAGTGAAATTTCCAAATATTGCGAATCCACTTGATTCAAATTTCTAATTCAAATTTCAGATGGTTGCGTAGTACACGTGTTGAAATTCAAGTTTTAAGTTTACATTATTTTCAATTGTTGACAGTTTTTTAGATGTTTATAAATGCTCACTTGATAAGCTCTTATTTATTTTTTCAGGATTAACTTGTTTACACTTGTCTATAATAAACGGCAATTTAGATTTGATACGATATCTATTGTACATTGGAGCAAACTTGGACACGCAAGATTTAAAAGGAGGAAGGACTGCGCTTCACTTAGCCATTGAGATGCGAAAATACGATATCGCTCGACTGCTGGTGAGCGATTATTCACCAAATTTTGATATCATGTGTTATTCAGGATTGACGCCATATGACTTTGCTTATCGATCGAATATTCAATTTGCCCACGAATTATTGAAGCTTGGGGTTCATAAATCTTTTTCAACTAGTGAAAAAAGTGATGATACTTCGAGTGAAGAAGATTTCACAGAAAGTGATTATGATGCGGATAATGATAATATAGATCAAAAATTCACTTGTCAAGTTTCAATTGAAGTTGGTTTGACGAATTATTAAAAGATTGTGTAATTGAAAACTACTATTGATTGATTCGTATTTTATACCACAGCTGTAATCTGAAAACGCAGATAAAAGTATTGGATGCAAAAAAAGAAACACTTTGCAACTAAAGTTTTATTTTTCGATTCTATTCTAATATTTTCTAAAATAGCGCCGTCTAAAAAATATCTATAAAAAAATGTGTTTACAACGGAAATTGTTAAAATATTTCATGAAATACTGAGTGCAAACACGTATAATAATATGTTGACCGTTTAAAAAAGTTATGTAATTACTCGTAAGTACAATGTAAATATGTTGAAAACAATGTTATTCGTCTCAAAAGTAAATTATAAACAATGCTTTCCTGCTCTGCTTCATGAGAAATTCACCACACGTCATTTTTTTAGAGGGAAATACTGATTCAGAATACGCGAAGCAGTTAGTTCACTGTTCTTTTTTTAAATGATGAAATAAACCCACGCCGACCGTGAAAGTCCTGAAATCCTTTATTCGGACTTGGCTAAGCTGTAATATTTTTTATATGATTACAATCACATGAATTATTGAACTGATCTACTGATCTATATTTCAATGCAAATAAATCTGTATTAATAGTAATTAATTTGTTGATTCATCCCCTCTATTTAATAATATTGAAAAGTTTTGTTTATTTTGAAGTTCTACACATCGAGTTGGGAGAGGTCTCTGCGAGTAGCGAGCCAGTCGTTGTCAAGTTACAACAACGACGTCGTATTTGATTAAGTTAGCCGGACCATTAAAATGCCAACGTGTGATAGTGAGAAGTTATATTTGTTGACTGTCAGATTATTTACTATTTGCAGCTAATATTTCTCACGAGCTAAATTTTGTTAGCTTTTTTTCACTAAAGTAATTCATAACAGTAATGGATCGGGCTCCCCGCGTTTTCAGTTCTATTTCAACCACTGTTCATTCAGAATTAACTAATACACCAGGCAATATTGAGCGAAATCCTAATAGGCTAATGGAACAATCCGATCAAGTGCAAGATAATAATCAAAGGCGTAATCCGACCTATCACAGCAAAGCGGAGAAAAAAAGCTATCGTGGAAAATCGGACACCGTTGTCTATAATCGTCCGGTCGAAAGTAGTTCTACGATAAATAATGAAAATAAAAAACGTAACTGGGAATTTTACTACACTCAAGATGAAGATGGCGATACGTAAGTGCTTTTTTTTGATTTAAAAATTTGTTATCGATGTAGTAGATGTGCACATTCAAAGATTGAAAAAAATTTACTGCGATACTGAAACTCACCATCGAATTTCAATTCCGAGTGCAAAGCGTATTCTTAAATTTAGTTTTAACGAATTCACTATTCATTAAGAAATCACATGATTCATTGATTATTTTATACTTTTATTTAACGAATGTTTTCCGCATTACTACAGGCAACTGCATCGGGTCATAGTCAATCGAAACCCTGCGTCGGCCTTCTTTTTAATACGAATCGCTCCGCACCCTTGTTTACTCGATATACAAAACGATGACAGTGATACGGCCTTACATATGGCCGTAATAGTAGGTGATCCCAGGATCGTACGCCGCTTAGTGATTGCCGGCGCTAATCTTAACATTCAAAATAAATATGGGAATACGCCTTTACACGTTGCTTGTGAAAACGATGACGAATATTGCGTAAAAGCTCTGACCTATCCATTTGCAGCGTCTGAAATAGCCTGGATAAACGAGGAGAAAAGGACGCCAACGATACAACAAAATTTGGAACAGCTTAACTTTGATGGTTAGTCACTCATGACGTCATGACGTAACGACGGCTGCATTCTTATCATTCAGTTCCGTTCAGTGAACTCCTTCGAGAAATTCTATATTAATTTATTTTTATTTTTTTTTTTCTCTTCAAAATTTTGTTTTCGTAGGTTTAACTTGTTTGCATCTTACGATTAAGCGAGGCAACTTGAAACTTACGCATTATTTATTAGAACGCGGCGCGAATATTGATACCCAAGAGCTACGCAATGGACGCACTGCACTTCATTTAGCTATCGAAATGAAAAAGTTTGATATAGCCCGGCTACTGGTGCGCGAGTTCAAGCCTGATCTTACTAAAAGAACCTATTGTCAATTTAGCCCTTATCAAATGGCTTATATCGTTGATAAGAAATTCGCGGAGGAACTTCACATAGAGCATGGCGTCCCACGTGAACTGCCACCTGAATCAAACGATGTATCTTCGTCTGAAGATGAATCTGCGAATGAAGATTCCGGGGAAGAAGATGAAGCCGAGAACGAGGAAGATGGAATATTCCTGAGATCTCTAATGAGCGTTAAATTCTTAAACGAACAAACTTTGGTTAACAACGAGAAAAGCACAATGAAAGAATAATTTGAGGAGGTAATTTTACAGCAGTAATGGTTTTAAATTTTTAAAATCAAAAATTTTATTGGAAAGACTGCTTTCATGAATGCTTTCCCGAGAGCAACAGGAAATAAAAAAATGCTAACTGCATTCATGATAAAAATAATTGTGCGGGAATCTTTCATACCTAAAGTATTTATGGTAAATTTTCCAAGCTATTAATTTCAATGTAAATATGTTCCAATTTTAGTGTGATGTTCACGTACGTCACTATAATGAAAGTAAATTTTTATGAACAGATCGGCATAAATAAAGATCTAGTCATTTAGTGGTCATGCGCTTCTGAGAATCGTACGTCAGAATAAATTGTACAATAATTATACTACATCAAAAAATTTGTATATATTAAATTAAAAATAATTTTTCAGTCAAATTATAACGAAGTGTCGTCACTTGCTACTCAAAGATGATACGGTTTTTTTCGATTCTTAAACAATCTCCTTGGGAACAAATTCATAATTGATCGTAATTTTGTTTCATGCATTAATTTTGTATTTTTATAATACTATGGTATAGACAGGTACAAGATTGAATTATTGTTCCATGAAACACGGTTTTTCGATAAAAAAAAAACTTGTAAAAAATGTAAAGAGTAAGGAGTATTGTCGCAAATGTGTTAACGAATCTAAAAATACAATCAAATAAATTATAAATGATATGTACAACTACAGTATTATCTTCAAATTTTCGTACATTGTTAAACTTTCCTTGACTTAAACTTATGAATACTCTGATAAAATTTTTTGGGGAATTATGAATTTTCATGATAATTATTTTACACTTAAAAAAGTAACGTTAGGCAAAATCAATTTTTTTGAATAAATTATTGAAATTTATTCCAAATCGTTATAGAAAACTTTTTTTAAACCTTTTTTTTGCTGAAAAAACATTATTATTCACAGTAGACAAAATTTTTGAGTAACATTGCATATGACAGACTTTACAGTGACAGTAACGTTGGAATTTTGCTATGACGAAACAAATTTTTAAATAAACGGGACACAGATTGAACGTAAAAATAACACTAAAAAACAGCGGTCACAAATGACGATACTACTATTTCAAAACTTTGATAGTTCTAAGAGGGTTGTAAAATTTTGTCGATTTTCACCTCGTTCTAATGGTTTTGAGGAAAATGTGGATAATGCTGGCTTCTTATCGAGTAGCGCGCTCATAGAGGCTTGTGCTTATCAGTCCGCTATTTCTTCCTCGATAATTTCGATGTTATCGGCTTGTTCGACGTTGATAATTTCGTATTGCTGATATTCGGCGATGAGATCAAGCAGATCCGCGTGAGCATCGGTAAACTCGTTTTCTTCCATTCCCTCGCCTGTAAACCAATGCAAGAAAGCCTTGCGCTTGAACATTAGGCTGAACTGCTCGGAAACGCGTTTGAATACTTCGTGGATTACAGTGCTGTTGCCGAGGAATGTACCGGAAATACTCAGGCCCTTCGGGGGTATGTCGCATACTGCTGTTTTGACATTGTTTGGGATCCAGTCGACGAAGTAAGGACTATTTTTGTTTTGTATATTGAGCATCTCATCCTCTACTTCCTTCATAGACATTTGACCACGGAAAATCGCCGCAACTGTCAAGTACCTGAAAGAAAGTGAGTATTATTACTGCTATTTTTAAAAATTATTTATCTAAACTGAAAAATCTAAGAAATTTTTTTATTAGTACCTTCCGTTTCTTGGATCGCAGGCTGCCATGACATTCCGTGCATTGAACATTTGCTGCGTTAATTCACTGACATTTAAACCATTATAAAATTGACTTGACCGAGGTATCAGTGGGGCGAATCCCGTGAGGAAAAAGTGCAGTCTCGGAAAAGGAACCATATTTACTGCAAGTTTTCTTAAATCTGCATTGAGTTGGCCTGAAATTAAATAATTTTAACCAAAATTATGCTACGACTATATTCATACTTGATAAAATTTTTCAAAAAAAAAAATCTAACCTGGGAATCTAAGGCAGGTTGTGACTCCTGACATGGTTAATGAAACTAAATGATTGAGATCAGTATAGGTTGGACTTGCAAGTTCCAGTGTTCTCAAGCATATTTCATACAGTGCTTGATTGTCAATGCAAAAAGTCGAATCAGTCAAATTCACAAGCTGTTGAAACGACAGCAAAACATTATAGGGTCCGACAACAGTATCTTGAACCTTGGGTGATGGGACAATAGAATATGCATTGATGATTCTGTCCGGATACTCGTCGCGTATTTTTGACAACAGCAAAGTCCCCATGCCAGAGCCGGTTCCACCCCCGAGAGAGTGAGTTAACTGAAATCCTTGCAAGCAGTCGCAGTTCTCGGCTTCTCGACGCACTACGTCTAACACTTGATCGACGATTTCGGCCCCTTCGGTGTAGTGTCCTTTGGCCCAGTTGTTACTTGCTCCATTTTGCCCGAACACATAATTATCCGGACGAAATATGTCGCCGATCGCCGAAGATCGAATGGCATCGATAGTGCCAGGCTCCAGATCGACGATTACTGTCCGCGGGATGTAGCGTTTGAAAGTCGTCTCGTTGAAGTAAACGCTGATCTTGTCCAGTTGCACGTCATTGTTGCCGTGGTAAGTGCCGTCTGAATGGATCCCATGCTCGCCCAATATCACCTCCCAAAACTAACAGAGAATATTTATGTTACGAGCGAAGCATAATAATGGAATTACACGTAGATAAATTTCCCAGATACTTCTTGAAATCTTATATCTTAAATGATAGAGAGCTCGATTTCTCGTACTATGCAGGCGTCATTAACCTGAAACGCGAACTTAGTCGAAAAAGGAAATTTACTCACTCTCGAGCCGATCTGATTGCCACATTGTCCTGCTTGTACCATTAAAATTTCACGCATTTTAGATTTTGTAATTTATTTGTACAGAAAATTTAGAAAACTGAAAATTTTGACGTAATGCCAAAGGCTTAACTAATTTTGCTTACATAACCATTTGGACAAAACTAATAACTGATCGTGATTAACAATTGACGATTCATTTTCATCGTATATATTTTTAGAAAATCGATATCCCGATTTATCTGTTTTGACAGAAATTTACTCATCCAATTGATTTTTTTAAGCTAACTCATCTGAAAAGTAATAATGTTTCATTTTTTCGGTAAAAGAAAAATTGTTAAAAGTATTGGTTAATTTATCATTTCCCTCATTCATTCATAATATTTTGAGTGAAGTAATGTTTATGCAAGTTAAAATTTTGAAAAGTAAATAAATTTAGAATGGAAACGATTTTTTTACGTTAAAAAATACTCGTATTAGTAATAAGTCTAATCTAAAAGTATTATGAATAATAAATAATATAATATGAAATGGATTGAATCATGAACTCCGCAACTTATTTACATATTCAAAAAAATAGCAAATCATTTATCATTCAAGAGTAAATAAATGAAATAAAATGAAATCTCTATTACCCATAGTTGGTAAAATGCATCAAGAAATGATAATAGTACGATAAGATAGTCCGAGAATTCCATAATTTTCGATTCATCGACTAATTTAAAATTAAAGTTATCAAGTAATATATTTTTACTTATTTCTTATTAGAAACCGATTGTTATTCTTGACAATAAGAGTCTTTTATATGCTTTCAGTATTCATCGCTTCAGAGTGTCGTGTATAATATATACTGGAATACGTGATACTAATACAATCTAAAATATGAACTAGAGAAAAAATTTATTTTTTGTGCCTTGCACTATATGACGGTAGTGAAAAAATGTTCTAACGTCTGCGATAAATTATTTAAATATAAATAAATCCCTTAATTTGAAACGAAGATTGAGGAAATCAGTCAGTAGAACTAAATGATTTAATCGGGAATTTATAGTTTATTTCATATTGCAATGTAAAGTAATAATTACAACTTATATTAAAACTAGTGATATTAAAAATAAAGAAAATTTGTATGAATATTCATATCTATTCACATGTTTATGCATTAATGAATTATTTACAAAAACAAATATTAAGAACTTAAATACTTTGCTAATTAAATTTAATGTCAAATTCGTATACTAAAAAGTTTGGTTACTTCCATCTATAAAATTTCATTAAACATGTAAATTTCCCAATTTGAGATGCTGTTTTCCTTTTGGAAAGTCGCTAATACTATACAATGTACATTTATACCTGCGTTTACATTTTTTTAACTGAAAATCTCGTTTTTTTCGGTCGACAAGATATTTCTGTAATTTCGGTGCTATGCACTTCTCATTTTCGCACACACTTAGTTTTTTGCATATTTTCATCTTGAATTTCATTTAAAACACAGTTTTCTTTTGTTCCTATGACAATATTCTTTGACATTATAGTCAACTTATACTTAAATATTTGCACAAACTTCTCTTGGTGCTTAATTATAGTTCTTAAATCTAGTTTCGTTTTTTTTGTTCATGACTATGTACATTTTCATCAGCAATTAATTTCTACAATCAAAATATTCGGGTTTAAACGATACATCGTTACAGCTTCATTACAGTTGTGACTTCACACTGTTCGTATTTTAGTATTCTCATGAAATTCCGTTGATACTCATTCAGGGTATTTTTTTAAATCAGTTCTTAATCATTGTTATTAATGTGCAATTTTCATATGAAAAAATATTTCGTTATTTTAAGCACGATATAACTTTCTCCACTCTCCAACAAGATTATGTAACAAATTTACTCCTTTTTTTACAATCAATTTTTCTGTCAACCTACATTTTTAACTCTCACATCAACGCTTACAGTACTTAATTGGTCGTGCGATTTTTAGTATTCCCAGTTTTATGTTTGATATTAGAAGCAAGAACTGGAAATTATGATAAATCGCCAGTTAGTATTAGTGTTTATATAAATATATATGTGTGTATATAATAGCTGTACGAGTACCAGCGAATTGTCACGAGATTATTCATCATTTAAAAAGTTACCAGAAGTGAATGATATACATCGTTTTTTCGAATCTCTACCAACTACAATATGGCATTGTATTTTGAAATTTTTCCCCTGAAAAATTCATGTGCGTTGATTCTGACCAAAGCAGAAATACATTGAATAATACCTGTGCAATAGCAATATTTTATATATCTTTGAGGAATCTTAGTCACTTTTGCGCCATTAGCCGTTCTAAAATCACATTGAGTCATTAAAATCATTAACTTCCACTTTGTTAATATTAATGTAAATTTTTAACGTTTCACCTTTATCTTTCGTGGATTGATATTTTAGTTCAAGAAAACACGGAGCATCTAAATTTTTCATATCAAATATTTTTAAAAGGTAAAAGGGAAATTTTTACCATTAATTGAAATTTCTACTTTAATCATTGCACTAAAATCATGGATTTAAAAGGAAAATTTGAAAAGCATCAAAAATTATAATAAACCTAAATTTTATTAATATGAATGTTTGTTTAACAGTTCGTAATTGACGAAGCTTTACATGAAATTAATATCTTAGATTTATATAAATAACAACTCTAGATTTTCTTTCAACTCGCAGAAATCGATCAAAAAGTGCAGTTATTCAAATAATCGGTCCTAGACAATTTACTATTCAATTTGTAAAAATAAATGCTTTAATAGTTCATCAAGTTTAAAATAACAAACATTAGAAAACATACAGATCAAAAAGTCATGGAATCAACGAGAAAGCTACTTTCCCGAGCTATATTAGCTACTTGAGAACGACTTTCACGCATCGAAATCAATATGACTATAATAATATACAATTTAATTCGCTCTTATTTCTATATAAACGCATATCTGTCTGTAAAAAATAAATACAGAAAATTTACTGGCTAATATTTACAAAAAGAAAATTATGCAGGTGTCAGAGTCAAGCGAGAGACATTCAATATAAGTTTTTTATGTGACAGTTCAAGTAGCTCTCCAATAATTTTAATTAGAGGCTTCGTGTCTGCCCCAAAACTTTATACTACGACATTGTCTTAGTTAATATACACAAATATAACATAATTATTCTATATAGAATATCTTTTGACATACATTTTTCAAAGGCTATCCTTAATAACAGTATTGAATCACGTTACATCGATAAATACAAATCTTGAATCACAATCACTGCTAGTCGATACTTTTACTAAAACGATTTCGTATTTGCTTTTGCTTTGTAGTTTAAGCCATTATTGATCCTTCTTATATGCATTATAAAAGTATAAAATAGATTCAAGTTTCAATTGTAAGATGCATTGATCAGCACAATACCACGAATTTTAAAATTTATTATTAAATGGGACACTGTCTTTTAGGATTTTATGGTCGTGTTTACGGTAAACCACTGACTTTACATAGATATTCTGTTGAAAGTGGCTTTTATGTGTTAGGAACATTTTATTAATCCCGTGACATAGAGCTTCCCGATAAACCGATAAGTATGAACCATAAACCAATGAAGCAGAACTAACTTTCACGCGAACTTTTACTCCTACATATTACATGTAAATACGAATTTCAAATGAATTGTATTATATAAAAAGTTACAAGTTCAACACACGGATAAATGACTCATTTTTTACGCTTTTCACATATTATTTTTAAATGTTTCACGACATAAAGTTTTCAATAAGCCTCACAAGTAAGTATATCTAATTAAAAAGGTATTTGCTAAGAATCAGAACGAAAACTTCGAAGTTATTGTAATGATTCTCAGCAAGACCAACGTGATACCAGTACTGATTAATTTAAATGCATCTATAAAATTGAAACTTTTAAAAATCGTTTAATATTGCATTCTTTTCTAAGGAACAATTATCACTACTTGAAGAAAATAAAAGAAACGTTCCTTATGTTAAACATATGCTTTAAGTAGTTTAAGTATCGCATCTGCCATGCAGGACAGTTAGTCGTGATAAATTTTTGTCGTCTAATCTCGTTAAAATTCATTGCTAAATTCTAAGTACATCGTACGCTTTGACATAAATCTAAGAAAATTCAGTTATTTGCCTTTCATACAATTGTAAAATAATATATAATACATTCATACACTCTTGCATTTTATATTTTACACAACTTAAATATATTTATACGATATTTTGTTTATGCATAATATAACAAGATTGTTAATACAAGCTTATTATTTTTGCTCCTTCGAAATGGACGACACATATACTTCAAAGTCTTCATGGCCTCGAAAGTAGAATAAAAAACAAATTTATTCTGCACTTTTTTCTTAACTATCATTATTACTTTAACTTAAATATTACTTTTATAATTACAATATTTTACACGTCGGTTTTTTTAAACAAAAACACCGAATACAAATTGCCGCTCCACGTACACAGGAGAATAGTGTATTAGGCGAACGCAGCAGAGTATCGAAATACTGTACAAAGGTTTCGTTAAGTTCACAGGGCTTTACAATGTTTAATGAAACATGATCGCACGAGAAACTAATTTTGCAATGAGTTTCTCATTGCAAACATATCCTTCATGATTAGGAGCTCTGAACGACTAAGTTGATATACTTTTATAAACTCTTGTTAATTTTAGCAGCTAAAATACGAATTTATGTATTGATTTGTGTATCCGTACACATTTGTGCCCTTTCTCCTTACGCTTGCACCTTTACAAATCCTCGAAAATAGAGCTTTATATAGCTCTCAATCGAAAATCTAAACGAAACGAAACATCGATATCTGCGAAAAATTTTTCGATCCAGATAATAAAAGTAAGTAACAAAACAATCGTTTTACATTAAAACGAAAATAACAAGAAAACTCAACAGTAATGAAAGTTAAAAGAGGAAGCCGTGCAAAGGTGCTCGCGCGCGCCTGAGACTCGAGGACTCATTTTAGAGTCTCGCTAGCTAAACCCAATATTGCTGAAATGTGGCTCGTGCTCATCGGAGCAAACTTTGATTTCACAACTGCTCGGATAAAATTATCACGTGCACAGCCTGAATATTGCCATCGGTGTCCTGGGCAGATTTATTGTACGCCACCCGTGTCTCTTCAGCGCTCTCGATAGTCGTATGCTCACATCCTTCAGCCTCGGCCCGCTCGCCCTCTGGCTGAGAGCTGGTGGTGGTAGTGGTAGTAGCAGTGCTGCTACTACTACTGCTTGCTCCAACGCTCTTGACTGAGCTGCTTGTAGCTGTTGGGGCAGCTGATACCGCTGCCGAGGTACTGCCGTGACCTTCGATAACATCCGGAATGCTGGATAGTGGCCGTCGCCCGAGTCCGGACTTGTGGCCAGTGTCGCCGTCGAGACTAATACCAAGGCACTCATCGGTAAATTTTACTCGACGTGCGCTCGGTTCTTTTATGCCTAGGTTTTCTTTAGACTCTTTGACAAGTGAAGCAGCTCGGCGTAATAGCGCAGCCGAGTCAGCAATGTCGTTTTCGGCGCCGAGAAGATGCTGTTGCCTTTCAACCATCGAGCGTGCTGTAGCCGCAGCGGCCAAAAGCTCGTCCGATACGCCACTTAAGCGTGGACAGGAGTCGGGTATCTCGGGAACGACTTCCAATAGGCCAGGTCGTGGACGAGCGAGGGTTGCGTGGCTATCTAGCAAACTTCGACGTCTTTGAAGCGATGCGAGCTCCATATCTGCGCTGACCTCAAGCAGGCCGGACTTGTCGATGCGTCGGGTTGTCGGTGCCGGCGCTACCGGTTGTTGCTGCGATTGTTGCTGTTGGGGCGTACGTCTAGGCAACGTGGCAAAGTAAAAGGCATTGTTTGTGCTAACGTGAGGCTGTTGGTGCGCAAAACCCGTGGGCGAACGAAGGGGATAGCTCGTATTTAGAGCTGGACTAGCGCTGGACGGTCGGTAATTGGGTTCATTTTCGATGACAATTTCCATTTGATGGGGAGCCGCAGCGATTGACTGTTGAGCCTGCTGCTGGCTATTAGGGGCCTGCTGCTAGAGCCAGGTCGTGCGCGATTTGCCGGCTCGCGAGCCGGTCTGTTGATCTCAGACAATGATTTCGCGGATTATGCGCCTTGCCCGGCTGTTGGGCGTCGAGTAGCCCGACTCCATCGATGGATCGTCATAAGATAAACTAACACCTTGTGGTGGTTTTGGCTCCTCTTCACCGTAATTCTCTTGATATGGCAATCCCGACACATCATAGGGTGAGTCTGAAAAAGAAAACAATAATTCAAAAATTGAAACATTTTTCGAATAACTACCTTCAAAAATATCAAGCGGCACGCTTTAAAGAATAGCTATGAGTTTTATGCGAGGAAAAATATGTATCAATATTAGTATGTGATAATAGTGATACTGGTAAAGAAAGAGGTTTGCTGTGTGATTTCATTTAAACTGAAATTTTCGCTTGACTTATAATGGCGATAGGGCGATTAGTCACACCTTACGTAACAGCATTAAACTACAATTGAACGTGTACTTGTGAATGCACCGGAGAACAAATTGCGGTTTCCAAGACGCGAAGCACGTGCCGCGTATCGAATGAAGCAACTGCTGTAAGTGGTCAAGCGCGCAATACAATAGACCCGATTGTTTTTTCTCTCCCACGCATTTCTCTCGTTCACGAACTGGCCTGTATCGAAATTATCTGCCTAAGAGATTGTTTTTTTCGTCGATGCATCATGTTGCTATGGAGCGTATGATTTGTTCGCGTCGCGAAAGCAACTGTTTAACGGAAACGATAACCAAATTGACAACCGTCAAACTTACTGCTATGCAATAGTAATTATGTATATGTATATGAGTGGATACATAGATATAAAGAGCGAGAGTTTACTGTACTGGTAGGTAGCAGTAATTGCACTAATACGATTATATGCTTGGGTATATTTGCATTGCCGCGTGTGTATGTGAACGTACATTAATTCGATGATGTTGATGATGATGATGAGGATGATGAAATAGAATGAGAGAGAAATATTCAGTTGACAGAATGCCTGCCACTATCTACGCCCAAGTAAATACTTGACGTAAACGTGTACGGCATGAGTGCGCTACGTGTGCGGGATATATGAATAATACACACACGAAGAAACGGACGAGTGCAATCGTGTCTGTGTTTATTATAGTATACCAACTCGCTGTCGTTGCGTGTATGGGCACTCGCATCGCTACCTGCATATTTCTCTCAGCTATTTATTAATTTATATCATCATTCAATATAAACGAGAATTCCTTTGTGGCCTTCCGATTTTTCAAAAATGTATGTGATTAATCACGTATGAGGACGAGACTGACCAACTTTCGAATTGGATCGATACTCATTTTTACATGCGAGAACATCCGACAGGTATACGGAAGAACGTGCACACAAATGTAAAATTTAGCTCGGTAACTTACCTATTAATTTTTGATTTTTGAAAGGTTCGCAAAACTGTTGTCTACTCAGATTGTGACTTTCTCTGTATTCGGCCTGTGGCATATAGTGCTGATGGGCTGGATAGTCGGACTCGGTTGGCGCGTAACCACCCATGTCGTACGGATTACCGACGACACCGGTGTTGACTCCGACGCCGTTGGCAGCTGCATTTTTCATCTGCCATATCGAGTCTTGCGAATTGACCGAGCCGCCGTTGTTCGAATTCGAATAACTGTTCTCCATATAACCCATGTTGACACCTGTGAACAATTACGTAGTAAATGAAACCTTTGCATTTAAGATCTTTGATTTTGAATTAAGCTCTCGTAAATCGCATAAAAATTGTGTGCATCCATGAAGCGTACGTGAGCTATGCGAAATTAGTTAATCCAACAAGAAAGCATCAGGATTTGATGTATTAAAGAAAAGTAGGTCGAGAAAAAGTAGTGAATATGTATGAAGAGAGCGCGATTTAAAGTGCTATATATTTTCACGAGAAAAGTTTAACTAGCCTAAGAGTACAATCTTTATTAACGAAGATTACAGTGACCTATGAGCGCAGCGGGGCGCATATAATAAAAGACCGTTTTAAAAGTATTTTTCAAAAAAAAAAAGAACTTAAGTGGGAATTAAGGCTTTAAAGGCCAGTTATATACTTCTGAACTGTCAACTCGATATGGGCACGTGCCTTGAACTTTTTCGAGTTATAATAATTACTTTCAACAAATTTTATTTTAAATAGGATTCGCGTGCATTGCCTGGCTTATTTATATGCATGAGTGTATATCTTTTCTTTCAGAAATACAATGCATGGAATGGCAAGGCGTGCTCGGCTTTCAAGTTTTCCATATCCGACAGGCAAACTCTTTTTCGTTCAAACTTGCGGGAATAAAGGCGCGGCCAATGGGATTCAACTTTATTATTTATTATCATGCAGCGCAGATATATATGTGCGTTGAGTTTAAGTATGTATCGATACTTTTATAAAATGCACACTCTTTGAGGCAGTATTATAAAATTTTGATCGATGTTTTTCCAACAACGCGGATTCGAGTAAAGAATATGCGTATAAAAAAGTTTAGCAGGTTATTTGAGTAACTTGTCAGATAAGAAATCCAGTTCGAATTGTTGAATTTTTTCTATTCGAAATTTATCAAAAAAATGTGCGTTTATTTGATTCGCGGTTAGCTGACTTTCTTTTATAGCTTCTTATCGAGCAAACATTTTGATTGACTTCGGCCGAGGAAAAATTATCTTGATCAATGCGTCTGGAAAGTATTACAATAATTCACCAAACTTGCAAGATCAATCGGTCCAAGCTCGAAAAATACATCAACTAGCAATGAAAGCGTATTTGAAGAAGCAAAGGAACAAAAGTTTTAATCTTCACATTTAGAATTATGAGGAGGAAAATAAATCAAAGTCGTGAGAATATTAAAGAGGATCGATGCCTTACCATTGATATTGTGATTGGACTGGTGGTATCCGTATCCTGTCTGGCCGTATGCCGGGCTCTTGGAGTCCTCGAGGGCCAAGGCATGATCCAGACTGTGCTCGAGTGCCTTGTTCTCGGCGTAATATGGTGGAGGCGCCTGCGTTTGACCGCCGTTGCTCGTAACCAAGCTCGGCCTCACGCTGCAAATAAATCAATCAATTAACGAACATAGCCCCATTCGTGATTCATTCGCGTCTATTCATGTAATTTCGATGCTCCGAGCAAACTCATTTTACGATAACAAAACGATGAAACATTTTATACGTATATGTACAGCGCGTTAAAAGTTGCGCCGGGGTTATCAAAAGAGCATATCGGAAGCCACTTGGCTTTAACAATAAATGTATGTGACGAGACATGCGATTGAGCGGCGCGGCTGTTGCATCATGTAATGATCGTTCAAGCGTTAAAAATACGCGCCTGTGTATACTTAAAAGCGCTGCTAACGCGCGTTGGCTCGCGAGTTCGCGTCGTGGCTATAGATTAAAACTCAAGATTGTCTTTTTCTCATTAACGACGACGGATGTCGATGATTTTATCCTTCTTTTTTGCCATACCACGGAAAATATCAGCGCGCGATATCGAGATAGCAATCAAGAAACGCGAAGAATTTCCCATTATGCTGTATGGCTAGTCGATTATTTTTTCATGCTCTATTTCTCGTATGCGCAGGTAGAAAATGAAGTAACCATTGATTAAATAATATTGTACGAGTTGAATTATTTTTCCTCGCAATTGCCTGACTTTCATATGCAAAACAAACAAGTCATTTGTTTTAAAAAGAAGATGGGAAGAAAATTAATTAACTTTTTTAGTTAAAAGGACGAATAATCGAAGTATTCTCCATCGACAACTTGAAATTTGACAAATAGGTTTGTATAAATAGGATTATGGTCAAACGTAATATCCTTTGTAACTATCGATAGAATGAGGAAAAGATATAAACGATAAATCAAATGGTTAGAGAGAAGGCAAAATAAAAAACGATGAAGCATCTGGCCGAGGGATACAGATATAGTAGCAACAAAGCAATCAATTCCTTCAGTTTATCAGTGTATGAAAAAGAACATCGTATACGAGAGGACAAGAGGCCTGAGGGTTTCAGCGGAAATCAATTTGGCTGCTCAGCGAAAAATCTGTACACACGAAGCAGCAGCAGCAGCAGCTCAAGAGACAAGAAGAAGCGGCCAGTTACTCGTCCTATGTATCGGAAATTTACCAGGGACGTTGACGTTGGGCAGCGATTATCTCTCTCTCTCTCTCTCTCTCTCTCTCTCTCTCTCTCTCTCTCTTGCTCTCGCTCTCCTGCTCTCTCTTGGGCACAAGCGCGTGCCTCGTAGCAGTCCAGCTTCTAGAAAATCGAGTTCTCTGTTTCTCTCTCGCATGTGGCGTGCATCTCTTGGAGCAGTTTTCAAGGGCTCTGGCAAGCATATGCTACACGTATGCATGTATATGCATAAATCTTATGCTGCCACATATACGTATATGCGCTGAGACGCACATAGCGGGAAGAGTGGATTGCCTTCACGAGATGGAAAAAGAGAAGTGCATTGCACACGTAGCAACAGCAGCAGCGCAGCCGCTTCTGCTTGAAAATGCTTCGGGTATCGGCTGAGACACGCTCCAAGGACCTCTTATATACCAGCCAGCTTCTCTCATTCTCTCTCCCTCTCTTTCTTTCGAACGTTTGCTACTCGCGCTGCATCTACCTTTTTATGCTTTACGCTTCATATGCTCTTTTTGCATCCAACAACGGCTTTACAGAGGCCTCTTCTTCGTCTTCTTTCTCCCCTCTTTTCTCGCGTATCGCGTTTTACTTATTACTCCGCTAGTTATTTTACAATCTTTAAATAATTTTATTTCAATTTAAAATTTGCTTTTCTTGTAGATGCATTTATGCGAATAATTTATTTGACTCTGTGAGTGGAAGATGATTACAAATGAAAAATGATGCTTATAAAATACATCATCTTTCAGCAATAAACACTGCGTGTTAAAATACGATTATACGTTTGAAATAAAGTATGCTTTAAATCATGCTTCGGGTACGAAATATATGTTTTGAAAGTCACCAACCCCTGAGTGCTTTTTAAAAAATCAATCTTCTTTATCACTTTACGTAATTTCTTATTGTGCATTTTTTCACGCGAGTAAGTAGACACATAATACCATCTACGAGATTTTTTTCCACACTTGGATTTCATGTTTGAACTGCTTAAGAAAAAACTGTCTAGCATAAAGAGCACTTGGAGGCGAAGGTAGCAGAGACCATAAAATTCTAGTGATCTGACTTTCAGATTTTTTCATATTGCGTAGGATTTGACCTGCTCGAGAGGGCGGGCGGTGAGCACTGAGCTAATTTTTCGTGCGAGGAGAAGAAATATAATGCAAATCACGGAGAGCAACAGACTTCATTCATTTCGAAAAACCTTTAAATGTTTCAAGGGAGAAGTGCGCGCGCTGCGCGGCCGAGGTGAGAATTAATATTATAGCCGCGTTCGCTCGCATTACTCTTGAAATCGAGGCATTTGAATAAACCTTCATCGAGGCTTAAGGTTAAGAAGTTTATAAGTATTTTCGACGAAAGCCAAGCTGCGGCACGAACATTTCAACAGCGACGACGTGAATTTAATTTGACTGCTCGAAAATTAGAATGAGACGTGGAAAATTGTTTTAGTTCAGTGAGAAATACTTCAGAGAGCTCGGCGGCGGGCGGGAAAGCTCGCATACGTTCTTAGCCCGAGAATTCCCGATGCGCTGAGATCATTATCATCATTATTAAGTTGGAAAATGAAATGAGCGAACAATGCAATACTTACGCATTCGAGTCCATTTCGTAGTCTTTGGCTTTGGCAGCGTGTTTCCTGCGACAGCGACAGAACAGCAGCAGCAGCGCAACGAACAGCAGAAACACTGCGCCGCTCACCACCAGGGCTATGAGCGTCGGGGTCGCGAGCGCACCAGCTTGCGCGATGTAAGACGGCCCAACTGCAACATGAATAATTAGTGGGTTATACATATGGCTACGTATATATAAACTATATAAATGCAGTTGATAATTTTGCCTGACACACACAGTTTGCCGACTGTTTTACTATTATATACATCTGTCGTGCCGAGCGCGTCGCGTTCCTGCACGCAATAACTCTTGCTTGTAGCAAAAATTTGTTATATTTATTATATGCTGCACAAATGCAGCGCACAGGAAGCTGCGTGCGTACACGCGTGTCATAGACTGTGAATATAGTCGAGTCTCGTGTGTGCCGTGCATGGGACCAAGCGCGACAGTACGCGGCTGCCGAGTTAATGAAATGGCGATGCCGTTGCTCTGCCCGTGGTTGTTTTTCAAACGACGATGCGACACTTGATAATGCGCGCGAGCTCGCTCCGCAACGTTGTAACTGACACATTTTCTGCTACCTCGAGGTATTATTTAATTAAGTTTTAAAGTTCGTTTGTTTTGTTGTTGGTTTTGATCATAACATGTATAAATATATATATATGCTCGTACTTATATTATGTATTATATATATATGCAGACATAGATTCGGTACGTACATGCAGTGCATGAATTTACTCTTTAGCAGAGAGAAGCTACGTAATTAATTATGTACGTATGCACAAATAATTGCGAAACACGGCTGCATAATGTGCTCGACCTATTTTGAAAATTACATCTGTTAAAAGAAGCGAGTATTTAATATTCATACACGAGAATCTAAAAGGAGGCAAATCAGCGGAGTCGATACGTGTATACCTGAGTGCCACACGACTAGAATATAATAACTATGCTTCGAGTTACAGAAATAACAAACGGCACTCTTATTCTAAAGGCTATGAACGATATTCATTGGAGTTTCTTTGAAATCCGGAAACATCTCGAGCGTTTAATACGTCGCTCTCTTATTCGTTCCAGCAATCTTTGCTCCCGAGCGACGTTATCTCCTTCTTTGCCCAACTCTCAATGGCTCGATAATCTTTTCCATTTTCCGCGCGCGTAAGCTTCTTTTAAATCTTGAGCCGTTGGAAAACCAAAATCTTTCAAAGCACCGGAAATCGTAATGACGAGCCAAGTGAAACGAAGCGAAAAGCTCCTAATACTAACCTTCGGCTTCGACGTATTCGCCGCAGCGCTGTCTGTCTGCTTTCAGGCAGAACCTGACGCGAATCCTCGGCTCGGAGCTCGACGCGGTGGGATCATCGAGGATACCCTCGCGCTGTGTGCTTACTTCGCCGCGCACGTCGAGCGGCCATTCGTCAACGGGATTCCATTTGTTGTTCAAACCGGAGTCTGATTTTTCGATCGAAGCTACCAGAGCCAAACAAGTTGGACCCGTGGTGATAGCCAGAGCACCTCCCTCTGGATCGTAGGTGATTCGCAACGGCTGAGGAATTTTTGCTACGGCAGTTGTAGCGACAACTTCGTCGGAATAGTCCGAATGATCGAGGGTATTGTACACTTTTACCTATAAAAAAAAGAACAGTAAAAATATTTAATGTTGTTCCATTTAAAAACTATGATTGCACAGGAAATTAATTTACCTTGAAGGCATAAGACTGATGCTGATCCAAGTCGGTAACGTTGCAAGGGTTCGACTTGCGACAGTCGAGTTCCTGCCACTGCCCGGAGGTGGTGCTATGTGGAGGCGCGCAGTCCGGAGCGATTACATCGTCACTGCCGGCTACTCGCCTATACGAGATGAAGTACTTAGTCATGGGCAAGCCTCCGTCGAAGACGAGATCCCAGACCAAGGCAACGAACGTTGGGCCGACATCCATGGCTCTCACGTTGATCGGTTGCTCGGGAGCACCTTTAGGCTGTAACTTGATGGTCGAGGTGATGCTACCCTGGGCGTTTGCGGCACGGCAGCTGTAGTCACCGTAATCGGAGTCGCGGATCTTGGCGATTCTCAAGACGGATGTGTACACGTCGTACTGGTCGCTCGTCGTCGAAATCTCGTAATGAGCATCACTGGACGAGCCTTGGAGAGGGGCACTGTTCGTACCGAAGCTCCACTGGAACTCAGGTTTGGGCCATGCTTGGACCTTGCACGTGACGTTGGCGAACTCGCGTAAATCAGCTGCTACCTTGTCGTAGATATTCAACACGATCGGCGAGTGCTCGACTTTGAGCATCATTTGCGACTCGACTTTCTTGACGTCGTTCTCGAAGACACAGGTGTACTTGCCACGATCGTTAGCGATTATCTTGTCGGTTTCCGGACGAGCGTTACCCAAAAAGCTGAGAGTTGAGTTTACAGTTATGACGCGTCCATGGCCCTCGTTATTGATCGTTGTCACTCGATACAAGCTCTGATCAGCGGTTAGTTCGCGATCGTCTTTGAGCCAACGCACCGATGGACGAGGTTTGCCCTGAGCTACGCAAGACACTTGGAAGGAAGATTCACCAACCCTAATAATAATAAAAAAACATTTCGTTAATACCCATTAAGTAATGAAAAGGATTTAAAATTAGCACGCACGGATTATCGCGATAAACGATCAACCAAAGTATGGCATTTCACCTAACGGCACTCGAGATTATTGATTTGCACTTTGCCGGTCGCGATGTCGCGCACTTGAACCAATATGCATTGCGTATACAACTAATTGCTTGATTTCCGTAATTGGCGCTCTTTGAAGCTGTATCATAAGTACTTCGAGTAGTTGGATGTCCCGATTTATTCTAAAGCAGCAGCAGCAGCCAACAAGCTTTTCAAGAAGGTCACGAAGGTCACGACTGCGCCGAGGACGATCGCTAAGAATTGGTTTAAAGGTCGTGCGCAAAATCCTATTTAAGCGAAGCTAGTTGGTGTTGTGCGTGTGCGAGTACTGCGTGCGTGCAGCGAGTGCATATCGTTCGCGCGCGAGGGATTATAATATCAGAAGGCCATCATTATGTGCTCCGCTCCTGCTCTGCGAGCGCCGTGCGTTGGGAAAAAGATCATCGTGAGTCAGGCAGTGCAATTGCTGCTGCGCGTCGTCATTAAAATGCATGCATATATGTACGCGCGATCATTAAAGAAAGCTAAAAGCTCAACGTTGAGCGATGCTTATCAAAGAAAACGAACCTTCTCACGCTCGTTAATTATCATTATTATATACATACATAAGTTATACGCGTGAATATGTTTATTATATGCGTGTTCACGGCGCATCCAATGAAAATATATATTCCCTAGCCCTATACGTGCAGTATGAAAGATCTGCGCGACTCCCTCGGCTTTTTCTCGCTAACCGCGTAAGACTACTGTAATCATTCATTTGTTTAATTTTCCAAAGTATATATGCGCGTATGAACAATGAAGCGAATTAAAACGCGCGGTCAGCTTTCTTCAGAGTATCTCATCGTAGTCTTGATTGTATTCCTCACGAATTAATTGAAAACAATATTTCAGAGGCAATGAAAATTAAAAATAGTTGAAGCCTATTTCTATCGGCCGAGAATTGAAATAGTCTATAAAAACTTCTCCTACTGAATTACGAATATGTATAAGAATGCCCAACCTATTTCCGGACGAGTCGATTAGAGAAAGTCGCGCGCGGTCGTGAGCGCGCAGTATTGAACGGAAATCGAACTTGCACCATAATTTGTGGCGTCTTCGACCGTTCGAAATATATTTACCTATAAAATTTAGATATTCGTGCTATATTTGCTAAGATTGATCTTTGGTTTATTTCGATTCATTCGGGTGGGATATATAGACTATAAATGGATTAGCATAAAAAAGGCATGACTCACTTCCTCGTGACGTGTGGCTGGAGCTTGGTAAGAATCTTGGGTGGCTGCTGTACGGTCAAATTAACAGAGGCCGCCTCGCCGTTGCCGATCTCGTTGAAGGCATGGCAGCGGTAAATTCCCTCGCTGCCGAGGTGCACCGCTGCGATCTCGTACTTGGATCCGGAGTGCTCGTTGGGCATGATTCCGCTGTCGTCTTCGCGCGACCACTTGAAGCTGGCCTCGGGATAGCCGGGTGGATTGGCCGTGCACGTGAGGATGACTTTGGTGGACTCGTTGGCCACGGGCGAGTCAGGCGTGATGCGAGCTGGACCGGGCTTGTGTCGAACACGGATCTCCACATTGGCGCTGGCCGTGTGTTCTCTGCGTTCGCCGTTCGACGGATGCACCCAGTTGGACGCGCGACAGCTGTAATTGCCAGCGTGATCGGCCGTGACGCGGGACAATCGCAAAATCGATCCAGTGACTCGGAATTCCGGACGTCCTGAGAAAAGTAAATTAGCAATGATTGCGTTAGAGACGCACTCGCGCGATATGCTGCATCAAAATGAAAAAACCAAAACTTACCATCACGGAACCACTCGATTTTGCTTGCTGGGGGATTGGACGAGACGTTGCAGTGTACAGCTACGGTATCTTCGACCTCGACCTCTCGGAGTCTATCGCCCTCGATGGAGACGGTCGGAGGGTACTGAACGTCGAGAATAAGATAGCTCTCGCCCTTCTTGCTCAGACCGTTGTCAGCCTGGCAAGTGTATCGTCCGGCGTCTTGCATGGTCACCTTGTGTATCACGTGATTGAAGCTCGTACCGACGAAGCTGCCGTCCTTCATCCAGCGCACATTGCCTACGGCGGGCTTGGCGTCGACGTTACACTTGAGGGTGGCCAGGTTGTTGAGCTCGACCTTCAAGGGATTGTCGGTGCCGACTTTGACCCTCGGGAAGTAATTGACGTTGAGCACGACGCGAGCCGTGAGATTCTCGCCGGCCTTCATGGCGCGATTGCGCACGACGCAGCGCATCACCGACCTATCGTCGTCCTTCGACGGGATCATGACGTAGTTGCGGCCGGTGGCGACCACTTGATGGGAGTCGTCGCCGCGATACCACCTGACCTCGGGCTCGGGACTGCCACCGTACGTGTTGCAGGTGAGCTCGAGGCGCTCGCCCTCCTTGGCGACGCTGTTCGAGGGAGTGATGCTCGGGGGACCCGGTGGCCGCAGAACCGTCAGCGTGATGTTCTTGTGGTAGAGATTCTCGCCGGTGCCGCTCATCTTGACGCGACACTCGTACTTGCCGTTGTCGCGCTCGTACGAGACGTTGCGGATCTCCAGGTCGTACTGACCTTGCTCGGCGCGCAGCGAGACACGGTAATAGGGGGCCAGAGAATCCCGACCGATGGCTGCATTGTCATGGGCATTGTTCGTGTGAGTGAGCCAGAAGTAGGTGGCATTGACAGTTGGCTTGTTGAAGCGACACTTGAGTAGCACCGTCGAGCCCTCGTGCGTGTCAACTTGCGTCTCCTCGGAGCCACGCGCTCGACCAACTCCTGCAATCACAAATAAAAGGTATACATTAGTATTGAATCATCGTAGCAATAGATTTTTAAATCTAGAGAAATTATGTCATGAATAGTGTTTTATCGAAGAAAATGTCAAAATGCAGTCGAATTAAAATTTCTCCTGCTTCAATGTAGCGTAGTAGAATATAGAAGAAGATCGTAAAATTGATTTTTTTTTAATCGAATCAATCTGTTGAAAGTAAAAATTGAAATGGCAAATTCGAAAGCTGCTCGTTGCAGCACGGCTTAGAAAGTGTAAATACACATTTTATTGTATTAAAAAAGAGAATAGCAGAGAGGCAGGAGCAACATCAGTAGTACCAGCTGCAGTGCAAGACATCGTTAAAAATTGCGATTGCAGCAGCAGTGCTTTGCTCGTTATAGAGTATAAGGAGAGTATGTATATAGCTCGCGTATTTCGAAAATATATATGCAATGCAACGATAGCTTTTCGTCGTCGTCGTCATCGTTCTGCAATATACAGCGACAACGGACGAGAGCTTTCTCCCCCCACCTGGCCACGCGAACAATGCGCATAATTAATTCGAAACGATGCCCATTCGAAGGAATAACAGTCGCTGGGTGCTTACGAATTTAAGTGCGCGCGAACGTACTTTTTCTCTTATTTTTTTTTCGTCGAGCGCGCGGCAAGAACCTTATAAAAGAAAGACGACGACGAGGGAGGTAGTGAAAAACGTCAGCAGCTTGAAAGAACTGTATATAAAATGGCAAGCGATGGCGCGAGTTTTTATATATACGTATAAGACGCGCGCGACAATCGTATCATCATCGTCATCAGCGTATATTCGCAGTAAAGGATTGTCCTGTCTTAAGTGGGTACTTGGGCGTAAAAGCTCGGAGTCGTCGTCGTCGTAGTCGGACGAGCCGAAGCTGCTCGAACGAGGGGCCGAGCTGGATCGTGTGCCGTCATCTGCCACTCGCGTGCAGCAGTGTAAAAGCTTCATTGGAATCGGGATTTCTTTACGAGAGCAGACGCATTTCGAGAGTCCGGAGACGTACGCGGGGAGGAAAGGGCGGGGGTCGAGGGGGACGAGGACGGGGGGAAACAGAGAGAGAGAGAGAGAGAGAGAAAGACGAGAGAAGAAGAGGAGTATCGAGTTTGCTTCGTGCCAACGGCAGTGCCGGCAAAAAGCTCGAGGAAACACGAAACGGGCGGTGCTCCTTTCTCTATATACGGCTATATACTGCGAGAGGGGTCTCTCTAGCGCTTCTAGATGCTTCAAGGCCTGGTGAAAATGATCGCATTTGTATTTATGGTCTATGAAATACGAAGGGGGCAACGCGCCCGGGAGAAGCCGATGAGGGACTTCGCTTACAGGTACAGACTACGACGACGTGCCCGTGTACAAATGTATGCGTACATATACATATAGTGCTCAAGAGTGCGAGAGGCGGCCGCCACCGCCTATCGACGTATAAACGGCGTGTTGGGATTCGTTTGACTATGATGAACTGTGTAACGTGTAATATAGTTGAAGGTCGCGCTTGATTTTGGCCTTTGTCTTCAGGCTCTGCTCTTGTGTTTTATATGGGGATCAGTTTCGAGAGCTATAGCGGCTCGATGAATTGGAAAGACGCCAATTTATACGTGAAGAGTATCTTTCCAAATCTGCAACGCGACTCCATTTGAAAACTCATCGATGCGTGTATTATTTTATAACTCGGTTGTACAGATTTTAAAATTATATCAGCTTTCAAATTTATGGAAATGTAGCACACGATCGAGATTCGACTGAATTAAATCACTTAGAAACGATCTACGGAATTAAAGCACGTTATACGTCTATCCATGGGTCTAGCGATCGAATCGGCATTAAAAATCCGGCGAGATGAAGGATTTATTTTATCGTATATATGAGCAATTCTCTAAATGAAACGCATTTTTTGAGGTAGAATCGCGGCAAATTTTTTTTTCAACCTACGCGGATACGGACCCCCGGGAAATGTTTTTGGGGGTCCTAGGAACATGTAACCACGTAGGAACCATTGAAATTTCAATAGTGCTTACTTTTATAGCTACTTTTGTGATTTAGAGGACGAAAAATCATGTTTTTTCGTAAATGCGGCTAGTTACTCGATTTCCAAGTCGTTGAAAAAGTATCAAAACTCATCTGAAAAATTTAACTAACTACTGTAATCGATAGGAAATTTTCTCAGCTTTCCAATGGTGCTATCAGATTTTCCCACAATTTGCTCATTCACCGAGAAAATCGCCATCAAACATGCCAAGCTAAATATCTCGAAAAACTCGGTACGGAAAAAGTGATCTTTGAGGTTTATTTTCGATTTTTCCTCGTGAAAATGAAATTTATCGAAAAATCTGACTACACCATGAGAAAGCTGAGGAAATTTTCTATCGAAAGCATATCTTCATTTATTTTTTGAGTCGAATTACAATGTTATACATGGGAATTTCTTTTACGTTGTTCGCTGTTTTCTGTTTCCGAGCTGATTCAGCGCGGTCGCGAGGTTTTCGGCTCGCTACAATCAAAACTAGCTCGTAATTCCACTGAAAAAATAAATGAAGATATGCTTTCGATAGGAAATTTCCTCAGCTTTCTCATGGTGTAGTCAGATTTTTCGATAAATTTCATTTTCACGAGGAAAAATCGAAATTAAACCTCAAAGATCACTTTTTCCGTACCGAGTTTTTCGAGATATTTAGCTTGGCATGTTTGATGGCGATTTTCTCGGTGAATGTGCGACTTATCGGAAAATCTGATACCACCATTGGAAAGCTGAGAAAATTTCCTATCGAACACAGTAGCCAGTTATTTTTTTTAGATGAGTTTTGATACTTTTTCAGCGACTTAGAAATTGAGTAATTAGCCGTATTTACGAGAAAACATGATTTTTCGTCCTCTAAATCACAAAAGTAGCTATAAAAGTAAGCACTATTGAAATTTCAATGGTTCCTACGTGGTTACATGTTCCTAGGACCCCCGAAAACATTTCCCGGGGGTCCGTATCCGCGTAGGTTGAAAAAAAAATTTGCCGCGATTCTACCTCAAAAAATGCGTTTCATTTAGAGAATTGCTCATATATGGGCTCACGCACAGAGTTAACAGTAAAGTCTTTTAAGCACGTTTCCCCCTTTGGCTCGTCTCTTTCACTCTATCGTTTCTCGTCGAGCACGCGGCAAAAAGTCGCGCGCGACGCGAACAGTAGCTGCTGGCGTTGCTTTATTAGTCGCATCTTCGAAAACCGTTTCTTCCATCAGCGAAATATACTGTTACGTGCTTTATGCTTCGACTGAGATGTCGTCGACGTGCGAGTGGAGCGCGTGTGTGTAAGTATATACGTTTGTGTAATACCGAAAGCCACTGTTGGAGGAAAAAAAATCGTATACACTGTACACACACTCTTTCTCTTTCAGGCTGCCAAAGTACCGTTTGTCAGTATATACATTCGAAGCATCCTCCGCTGCTGCTGCAGGCCATCTTCTTCTCTTATGTGTACTCGAGGGCTGTGCGAACCGACGCTTCTTTCCTTTCACGTGTCTTCGTTTTGTTAGTTATTAGTGGTCAAAAAGAGAAAGGTGACGTTCGTCGATCATATTTGGAAATCGACAATTTCGAACAAAAATAATTTGCACTGCCAACGTTACTAATAGCAATAACAACAAAAAAGAAAGAATGACTCGTCCACATAACCGATATTATATCTTTTTCATTGTGAAAGGAACAACGACAAAAAACAATGACGAATCAAAAAAAAAATTTCGGTACATAATGTAATTTGTACAATTGCCACTTGGAAATAATAGTTGTAGGGGAAAAATTTTCATCATGTGAAATCGCGAAAATTCAATAAGAGCACCTGCTGTTGTTAATGACGCAGGAGATATATATTTCGAAATCTATTAAATTGGATGAAGGAGAGAAGCGAGTTCAATGGAGCATAAATCGTATATACGAATTGCCAATACACCAATCCGCAAATTCCTTGCGGTTATAAAGCTTTGAAATACGAAAAATCCATCACCCATAAATGCTCTCCATCAAAAGAGAAAAGGAGAGGAGGGGAAAAAATCTTTCAAAATAAGAAATCAATGGCAATGAGTTTATAAATAAACAAGACGAAGTAATCACGAAATTTACAATAGCCGTGTGCTATAGATCTACGAGTGAATTCGATTGAAAAACATTTCGAGCTTGTGCAGCAGTGCAGAATGAGAGCTTGGACGCGCAGCTAATGTGTCGAATGCCACTATAGTGCTCGAAGAGCACAACTCACTTCGAGACTCGAGATCATGTTCGTTCGAATATTGTGTGTGTGTTGTGTATGTGTTATGCGTCTTGAGCGAGTCGAGGCTCACTCGGCAAGAAATGAATGTGGGTCGCGACCGATGGGTCGTGTAACGGTATACCCGCGAGTGGCTACGTACTCCAGAGTGCCTTTCTCTTTTTCATTTGGCTAAAGGCTGATTCTTACGAGTCAGCAACGGCAGCAGCCAACAAACCTTCTTGCATATATTTTGCGGGATTGTGCGGCTTACAGCGTGTATAACCTACGCTCTCTCGAAAGATGAGTCAGTGCGCTCGTATCGATGATCGTAATACCTCTTCATGCAACCCAAGTTGAATTTAACTTATGATGATTTGCTTATCAAGAAATAAACATATTTGCATACGTAGTTACTTTTAAATTAAAACAAGTGTGCATATTCTTAAGTATTCGAAAAAAAAATTATGACGAAATTTTCAATGTTCAATCATTTTAGAGAAAAAGAGAAAGGAAATCGAAATGATAAATTTGACGCGAACGCGAGGCCAGACGCAATCACAGCCCAATCTATATATAAAAACAATTACGAGGCTCGGCAGTGTCGGTATCCAGGGTGAAAATAGAAAATCATGGTCAAAAAAATCACGGGTAACTGTCAAGTGTAATCGGCATCGTCAGCGCCGTCAAGTCGTATAGAGAATGTGCCGTGCGAGAAAAGAAATAGAAAAGATTAGGGAAAG